AGTATTCCCAGACATATAGGGCTGCAATTGGCTGGGATGGAGACAGCACAGGGGCTGTGAAGATGGGCTCTCACTCCCTGCATTATAGCAGGGGACCACCACCATCCCCTCCTCTTCCCCCCCCCCCCACCCGGCACAGCGTCTCTGCCTCCAATGCTCAGCTGATGGCGGGCGGCAATGTGTTGTCACCCTCCAGTGAAGAGGATGGTGCGGAAGAAGGACCAGGACCAGGAGGACACAGGGCTCTGACATGGACACCGTTACTGCTGAAGGCCCCATGGAGTCACACCAGTCGAGGATCTGGCCCATTGGGTTTTTGTCATTGGGCAAAGGAATGATGGGAGGTGATGGGCTGTCCTGTGCTTGGGTGGGGTGATTTGGAAAGTGATCTCCCTGTGGCTGGCACAGGTACTGGTAATACCCAGCTGGATGCGCTGGGTACTGACCGGATGTGATCTCTGCTGTTGTGTAGAGTTGGCTCCATAATTTGATTGCTTGTGGCTGGTTTTTGCAAGGTTTGTATGTTTCAAATGCAGTTTGGCAAGCGTCCTGATCAGGGCACCTGCAGGGATCAAACGTGAGGCCTTCAGATCTAGGCTTTTCCGCCTGAGCTAGAGAAATGGGGGGGGGGGGGAGGGAAGATGAGGTGAGCTGGCCCCACTTACGTCAATGGCAAAACTGCTGTTGACTTTAATAGGGCAAGGATTTCACCATGTTAGCGACTGCCTCCACACTGTGCCCATGGCCTCGCTGCTAGCGGGGGGCATGGAGCCCCACTGCACTAGCCTCAGCTCTGCAACAGGGTCCCTGTCTGAACTGTGCTTGGGCCCCGCCATGCTGACTCTGGCCACCATTGGCTTGAAGGCCTGCCTTTGCATTTGCCCTCACGCCACCCCATGCAGCCTCCTCCAATGCTTCGTCTTTTGCTGCCCCCACTTTTTAATCTCACTGCTCAGTTTGATGCTCCTGAGCAGCTGCCCTTGGCTGGGCTCTCAGCGATGCTCCAGGAGGCAGGCGGGCCTGTTATGGTGCCACTGTGGTTTCGGAGTGGATTGGAGAGAGAGCTCCTGTGGGGCTGGCTCACTCTGCCTATGCCTTTACTTTCTCCCCAGGATGTGACTAGGACAGAGGCTGCCCGGGGCGCCTCCTGGTCTGTCCGTTCCATCCCTCCATTTGGGAGACCTTTCCTGATGGCTGTTTGTCTCTGTCTCTTCACATCATGTGTGGGAGGACAGACCTGGTGGGGGGGCTCCCTTGGTGAACACTGGGCCTTGGCCTGGCATCCTGGAGGAGACCCGCTGTGTTGGAGTTGTCGCAATGTGGGCATGTCTCTGCCAGCTTAGCAACACTCCCCAGTTTGCTGTTGCTCGCTCTGCGGTGTCCGGCTACTTTTTCCCCCACCTGTGCCTTTCGAGCGCCCCTGGGGGTGAGCAGTGTGCCCTCGGCACCGTCATCTCCCAGCGCAGGCTTTTCTTCTGTGGGGTCAAGGATGCCCGGAGCCTCCCTGGAGTTTGGAAGTCACCCATGCAATCGGTGGCTCCCGAGGGGCGGCAATTAAGTGTCTCGCAGTCGCTCCTCCAGGCCTCTGTGCCGCTCCCAACATTCCCCGGTGGTCCAGCTGTGTCTTAGATGCCCCCTTGCACAGCTGCCAGCAGTGGTTTGCCATAGCACTGGCTGTCATGAGCTGCCCGCTGGGCTGTGTTCCAGACTGCTCTGTGAGGAGAACTAGCCTGGCACGGAGCAGGCAGACCTGTGCGAGGGACGCTCCCTGATCCTGCTGGTGACCAACTGGCCTCCTGGTTGCAGGCGCACATCTCAGAGCAGGATATGTCAAGGGATCAGGGTACCCTACCATGCGGTGCTTGTGGCATGCGCCCTCCAGCTGCGCTGTCACATCCCACCGTGCAGCTTCCGTTCTGGCGCCGGTCGGCCATGCGGACCCTAGCGCTGCGCACAGCGGGGCCATGGCTGTGGGGCAGCGGGAGGGTTGGGAGGCTGGTGGACTAATAAATGCTGTGACAGGTCAGTGTGTCTGTGCTTTGGGACAACCTTGGTATTGTTCTTTGTATGCTAGAAGCCCATCAAGCCCACACCCAGGGACCAGGGCCCCATTGTGCTAGGTTCTGTATCCGTAGGAGTCCCTGCCCCAAAGAGCTCACACTCCAAGGACTGGGCCTTGTGATGCAAGTGGGGCGCTGTGCTGCTCTCTAGCATCAATGCACCCTGGGGAACGCGTGCCATCTGCTGGGAGCCACGGATGTGGAGGAAGGAGTGGGCAGGGAGCAGAGGATGAGGAGGGAGGGATGGGTGGGGAGTCAAGAACCTGCAGGGAGGGGAAGGCTGGAGTTGAGTACGTGGAGGGGGCGGGCAGGGAGTGGAGAACGGGCAGCGTTGGACGAAGCTCGCTATCCTTGCTGCCAGCTAGCAGAATGTGCTGCACCGGGAACACGACACTCCCGAGAGGAGAGCCTAGAAATGCTCCTTGGTAATTGGAGCAGTGGTTGGATGCAGGAACGCAAGGTACGGAGCTCACAGCAACACAGAGAGCAGAATGTAAGTGCAATACACAGGAGCCACAACTGCTGCAAAGGGGTAGCCGTGCCCCTGCATGCTCCCACATGGGGACGGCCAGAGCTCTGTGTGCCAGGCCCTTGTCTGAATCCAAATGCACCAGCACATGGCACCACCCTGGGCTACACAGAGCTGGGGCCAGCTTGGGGCTGGTCTGTGTGTGCATTGAGGGTGCAAGTAGTCCTTCCCCCTTCTGCACTGGGGCTGGGGTGTTCTGAAAGGGGGTTGTGGGGGCACAGGCCCATCCCCCTCTGTATCAGCCAGCAGATCTGGGCCACTCCCAGGAACTGGCTCCAGAGGCATTTTAACCCCGTAACCCCTGGGATCTCCAGGCCCAGCTCTCCTGGCTGCACTGGAGACAGCAAGGCCAAGACCATGGCGCTAGGATTGCTGCTTGCAAAGCTGGCTGCAGGTGCCTCATGACGCTGCAGCCACAGGTGTTGCGCAGAGAGAGATGAGACACGCGCCAAGTTCATCCTGGGCAGAAGAGGCCACAGCTCAGGCCAGCTCACGCCAACGCTATAACCAAGTCTGCCAGCCCTGTGCCCGTCTCACCCGCTCCCCTCTGTGCGGCCTTAAAGGGGTAGCACCTTTCCCTGCCTTGCCTTTATTTTTAAAAAATCCAAAATCATTTTAAAAGGCTCAAAATGGAACTGTGATGTCGGGGTTGGACCCTTAATGGAGGTTCACCCCCCAGCAAACCCCCAAATCCATCCTTGCTGAGTTCTACATGGGAGCTCATCTGTGCAGCACCCCCAGGCCTGATCCCTGGTGGGGGTCGCTGGGCACTGCTGGGATACTAGAAATATTACTTGCTGAGTGTTGGAGGTGCCTGGCCCTTCCAGCCAGGCTTGCCCTGACCGCCTATGCCGTAGCTCTGGGAACCACGCTGTCTTGGGGAGCGTCTTCTCCTCTCCGATAGTGATGGGGACATTCGCATGGGCAAAAAGTGCTGGATGGGCAGTCTGCTAGCAACTCCAGTGCCGGAGCAGCCCTCCTTTGCCCTTGTTCTTGAGAGCACCCTCTAGTGGTGGGAAGATGCATTTAATCTCCGTGGCCCATTCAGTCCTTGGCCAGCAAGAACACTGTGAACAACCTCCCCCTAGAAGCAGATGGAGGCCTCCCAGCTCCTGTCTCTTGGGGCCAAGGCACAGCTGCTGCTCTCCCAGGGCTGGATGTGCTTTAGTGCCATGGCACTTCAAAGCCTGTGGCCCTTCCCTCACCCCCTCCATCCCAGGGCTTGGTGGCCACGTGGTCGTGACGGATGCCCATGGCCTGGCCAACGGCCGGCTTGGCTGAGCTGGGAGCAAATCCCCCGCATGGCCTAAGAGGATCAAGCTCAGCATTATCTAGCCTCCTCCTCAGCCATTCAGGGTGTGAGCCGAGCATCAGAGCCCTCCTCCGTCTGGCTGGGCTGAGTGCTAAGGAACCAGGCCAGGTGGCTCTGGAGCAGCCATGTGGCTGGCGGCTTTAGCCTGTGCCCCATCTGTTCAGCTCGGCCCCTCACTCAGTAATCCCCCAGGGCCTTTAAAAGAAGCTATTTGCATTGTTACTCCGGGGTGGGGGGGGAGGGAGGTCACTTGCCATTTTCCTCTTGAGCCAGGGTGAACTAGATCAACCAGCTCCATTGTCCAGAGGCTGATGGGAGAGCAGGTCCCGTAGGAGCAGGGCTGATGCAAAGGGATGTGTACCTCAGGGGCCGCTGTTGGCCACATGCCTCAGCCAGCTGGCTCCAGAAAGGGGCAGGGGATTCCCAAGGAAAGACTGGGGCATGGTGCTAATCTTGCTGCGCCTGGCCCTGGATCACGCTTCCCGAGGGCTGTGCCTGTTTATCCCACAGAGTAGTGCTCCTCCTGCTCCATTATTCTGTGGACCTCTTCACAGGAGAGACTGCCTTTCGGGGACCCCCTCCTCCCTGTAGAGAACCAGTGCTGGAGAGGGAATTGCCATCATATCAAAGGCTCTGGCCATTGTAGAAACTGGGCTTTGCTTGCGGGTCAGGAAATGGGAGTTCTGAGTCCCAGCCTTTGGCTACAGCCACTAGACACACTTCCTTCCTGGAGCTTGGACATCGAACCATTGCTCCTGGTCTACTCCCTAGACAATGCTCTTTTCCAGGGCTGGAAATAGAGCCCAGGAGTTCTGACATCCAGTCCCTTACTCTAACCATGTGACACACTGCCTCTGGAATAATCAAACTGCCCTACACCCTTCCAGCAGCCGACCCCAAGGACTGTTCTGCCCTAGCATGCTGCAGACCCCACTCCCTCTGTCTGCTCTTGCTGGAATTTGAGTCCTCTCCATGTACAACCCTGTTCCTAACTGCCGTGGCTGTGGGCTTCCTGGGAGAGGGGGCCAGGTGTCAGCGCCATGCAGGAAGGAGGAGGTGGGGACTGGCGCAAGGGAGGAAAGCTGCATGGAGACAGAGGCCCAGATCTGAGTTTTATTTGTTCGTGAAGGATTAGGTGCTGTCGCCGCAGAGTTTGGGTGGAAGCTCCCTGAATGATCGATCCCAGGCTGGTAGCAAGTTTGGCCTCCGTGTGGCTCCCAGGGGCTGGGTCGCTCCTCACAAGCCAAGCAGTGCTGCGCGTGGGTGTCAGCATGTGCTCCGGTGAGGCTCACAGCAGGATTAAGGCACATCATTGGGGCTGTGATAGGGCTGAAGTAGCCGGGGGTGCTACAGGTCAGGATTGAGGTGTGCAGCAGAACTGGGGTGGTTGGGCTGGAATTGCAGGGGGGCTGCAGAGCAGGTGTGGGGACACTGGCAGAGCTGGGTGGGGGATAGGGCTGGAGTAGCAGGGAGGCTATAGGGCAGGATTGGGGGCACTGGCAGAGCTGGGTGGAGGCAGGGCTGGAGTTGCAGGGGGGCTGCAGGACAGGATTGGGGGCACTGGCAGAGCTGGGTGGGGGCAGGGCTGGAGTCACAGGGGGGGCTGAAGGGCAGGATTGGGGGCACTGGCAGGTCTGGAGTAGCAGGGGCGCTGCAGGGCAGGAGCAGGGGCATTGACACAGCTATGGAGCTAGGATTTGCAGGACGGGTTTGCACTAGAATGTGCAGCTGGGGAACCTGCCCTCAATACCCCCAGTCTCACCCCATGCTAGTGGCCAGGCAGCTTCGATAAACCTTTCAATTCTAATCATTTTAAAAAGAAGGAAAAGGAGCAAGCACCTGACTGCCAGGAGGGCACCTCTGGCTTCGTGGCCACCATTTGCTAACCCCCCAGTGTGCTGCGATTGTCTGAGATCGGGAAGGAGCCATCAATTAAGTACCCGCTCTAGTGAGAGAAAGAAGCTGTGGGCCCCAGATCCTCCACAGGAGGTGTGCACCAAAGAGCCAGCCATGTGCCTGACAGATCGCGCACTGGAGGTCTGGGGAAGAAAAGAGGCCACTCGTCACTCCAGGCTCTTCAGGAAGTCCAGCAGGCCCAGGTGCCACTCCTCCGGCTTGTCCAGGTAACAGGCATGTCCTGCTCCTTTCAGCAGGAGCACCTTGTGATTGGGGAGGTTCTTGAGGTTGTTCAGGCTTATTTCCCCGAGCTGGGTGTCCTGGTCCCCATACACAATCAGCGTGGGGGTCTAGCAGGAGGGGACACAAGGCACAAGAGCTCAGACAGCGGGTACGGGCGTACTGCTCACTTTGATCACCAGGGCCAGTGGCACAAGAGGGAGGCTAGAACCTGGCAACTCTGGGAGAGTGTATCCCTGCCTGGGAGCTTCACTGGTTCTGAGCATTGCTTCGTGCCCCCCGTGGGTCTGGGAATTTCCTCTCGAATTGAGTTGTTGGGAATGATCCCTTTCTAGGAACCAGCTCCTCAAAGACAATTGGGTGCTTAACTCTCACGGAAATCAGGGCATCTGCTGACCCCCAGCATTCAGACCAACGCTGGAGATGGGGAGCTGGAGCCTTAAGGGGCTGCTGTCCAGAGTCAGGTGAGATGTCAAAAATGGCAAATCATGAAGCTAAAAACCAAGGTGTGTGTTGGAGGGGGATAGAACTGGAGGCTAAAAGCAGGGATGGGCAAAGGTTCAAAGGCTCGGTGCTTGGGCGAGGGTCATGTGATCTGGATGTACCATGGATGTTTTAAATCTGGAAGAATAGGACACATTTTCTTCGGACTATTTGTTGTATTCCTTCACCCACATGCCCAGGCCCCAGACTGTCAGCTGGTGCAAACGGGCCATAACCATAGGGTATGTGACCCAAGGAATTCCCACAGGGTCTGGGAATCCTCCAGCCCTGCATGGTTGCCATGACAGCCCTCCCGCCATCCTGGCTTTCGGAGAAGGGGATGAAAAGGAGGGTCCCGGCGCTCAATCCTGAGTGCCAGAACTGCCCTGAGAGGCTGTTGGCAGAGCAGCCCTGCTCTGTTACCCTGTGCACTGGCCCAGTTGCTGGCTAGCCCAGGATAAAGATGCAGGGGAGGCGTAAAGATAGCATTGTCACTTTGACTCCCCTCCGCCTGCTTGGATGCTGCTTAGGATCTGGTCCCACTGCACAGAGCCCAAGAGAATAGAAACATTCAAACTAATATACTGAAAACCAGCAGCTAAAACGCCCTCTGTGCATAAAAATGTCCCTCCCAGCCCTGCACTTCCCAGGGTTGCACGCAAGGACAGGGTTTCCCAGGGGGGGAGCTGGGAGCGACCCATTGCCAGCGGGCTCAGGCTCCCTTTTTTAGCCCTGCAGAATTCAGACCCTACCCCCGGATCACGGGTGCAGGGCTGAGGATGGCTCTTACAGCAGGGTTATTTTAGGAGGGGGGGATACAAGTTCCACACTGGGGGAAAAAGAAGGAACATTTTCTCCAGCAGGTTGATTTTAAAAAAATAAAGGGGGGGCGGGTGGGAATGGTTGAAACTGGTGGGGGCTGGAGCATTAGAACAAGGGCAAACGAGAGGGATCAGTGAGCACAGGGTGAGGGAGGTGGTGAAAGGGGCCTGGGAAATGCAGATTGTCCCACGGGTCTGCCAGCTAGTGAGGGGCCCAGGTCACAAGGGTGTAACACCACTGTGTGAGGTGGGGCTACACCAGGAATGGATGTGGCCCAGCATAAAACTGTGCAGGGCAGCACCTAGGCCTTGAGTCATAAGGCCAGGCTACAGGTGCTGGTTTCTGTCACGCTGATTGTGCTACACGGAGTGCTTTGTCCTGATGGAGCTTGAGTATTACTGCTGGACATTCCCTTTAGTGGGGGCTTGGATTCAGATTCTCCGGTTCCCCCACTGCTCTGTTACACGTCTGCAACCTCGATTCCCTTCACCCACTTCCCGGTGTCTGCCCAGTGCCTTAGCTCTTCCACCCCATCCCCCAGCCTAGTGTTCTCTGCCCCTGCCTGGACACCGGAGTCCCCAACGACAGAGACTTGCCCCTTCCCTGCCAGTCCAGGGGCTGTACCTTTATGCTGGTGTACTGCGTGGCGGGGAACTTCTCGGTGCAGATGGGCGCCACCGGCACGTAGGCATGGACCAGCTGGCTGTGCTGGAAGAGGAATGGGAGCGAATACATCCCGCTGAGGGATGGGCTGATCACAACCACCTGGCCCAGCTGCAGGGCCTCACAGACAGCCTTCAGGAAACCCCCAGGGGCAGGCTGCCCAACAGGAGCCGGAGCTGTCGCCTCCTTGGAATGGCCAAGCCCTGGACCACGTGAGACAAAACCCCTCTGTGTTACGGATATTGCTGGCAGGCCCCTCGCGAGAAATCTGCAGTCCTGGTGCATCACGTTCACTGGGGCCCTACCCCTTCCCAATTCACACCCCCCACATCACCCCAGTTACAGACTTGGGGGGGGCAGATCCTGGTCCCCCAGACAGACAAAAACAGTATAGAGGTGGGCAGGGAGATGGCAATAGTCTGGCCCCTAGTGTCACAACAGGGTCATTCCTCAGCTTTCACTGACAGTATGACTCAGAAAAGGTGCAGGGAGCTACGGAGGGGGCTGGGAGCCAGAACACCTGGGTTCTGCTCCACAGGCCGTGAGAAAATGGCATCTGCTAGTTAAAGGGAAGGACCTGAGTGAGAACACCTGGGTTCTAGTCTCAGTTATGCTGCTGACTCCTGGTATATGTGTGGGTCAGGCATGAAACCTCTCCAAGCCTCAGTTTCCCCATCTGATCCCATATCACAGGGGAGTTACGGGGTATAGGGAATGCTTGTGAAAGCTCTCAGGGGGAGATGCTAGAGCCATGCACAGCGTGAGTGCTCCTATGATGGGACGTTCCTCGCCCGTTCTGTTCTCCCACCCAGCCCCACCGATGGGGCTGTGCATTGAAGGGATTCCTCCAGTGGCCGAGCAGCTGTACCTGGCAGATCGACGGCCACAGCACGGTAGCCAGCATCCGCCAGCTTAGACAGCGTCTGCAGGTTGAGCCAGGTCTCAGATGAAAAGCGAATGCCGTGGAGCAGCAGGACAGATAGCTTGGGGGCCTGCTGGGCCGGATTGGCCTGCCGGTAGAACAGGGTTTGCCCATCCACCGTGATGGTGCCCACCGTCACCTGCGGGGTGGCCATGGCCTCCCTGTTCGTGCTTTCAAGCAGTCCTGAAAGAGACGGGAACCTGGGCTGAGCCCTGTGCCCCCCCAGAATGGACTCTGGGCACAGTCCCTGATCTAGGCACAAAGGACCCTATTTACTTAGCTCTTCACTGCCTCATCTCAATGCTAGTGGGTGGACAGTATAACACTGGGGGTTGCTGTCCATTCACTGGAATGGCCTCATCAGGTACGCGGGGGTGGGGGGGATGGTACACTTGGAAACTTTGTTTTTGGAGGGGGGGGATGAATAGGAGATCACAGGGGAATGGGAGAGCAAGTAGCAGTGGGGCAGGCCAGTAGCAACCCAGGAACAGACTGGGCGTGTCTGGGCAGAAATTTAGAGAGAAGACCTATTATCTGATCCAATACCAGTTGGCTAATGAAAGTAAGTGAATGCACTCTTCACCCTTCTACAAAACTGCAATCAGTGGGGCTTCAATCAAATTGACAAGTTAGGATATTCACAGCTGATTTGTGGCAATACTTAGAAGGTAGTATACTGTTCACTGGTGGAACTCACTGCTCCAGGAGCCCAGCAGGTTTTCACAGAGGATCAGACATGTACAATGACAGTGAGATCACGCATTGTTCCCTTAGAAAAGGATACTTGTGGCACCTTAGAGAGCTTATGCTCAAATAAATTGGTTAGTCTCTAAGGTACTCCTTTTTTTTTTTTTTTTTTGCAAATACAGACTAACACAGCTGCTACTCTGAAACCTGTTCCATTAGAGAGAGGGTTTTAACGAACCCTCCTGAGCCAGGGCATGACCTGCTCAGTGAGCAGGTTCAGGAAGAAACAGCCGCGGAGGGCCCCGGGGCCAACCCTGCAGGGGCGGGGTTGCCCCCAGAGGGCGGGGGGGGGTGCGGCCCCAGAGGGCGGGGGGCCCCCTGGCTAAGGCTGCGGAGGGGCGGGGTTGGCCCCAGAGGGCGGGGGGCCCCATGGCTAAGGCTGCAGGGTTGGCCCCAGAAAGCGGGGTTGGCACCGTGGCTAAGGCTGCGGGGTGGCCCCAGAAAGCAGGGTTGCTCGTGGCTAAGGCTGGGGGGGGTTGCCCAGAAGGCAGGGTTGGCCTGTGGCTAAGGCTGCGGCCCCAGAGGGCGGGGTTGGCCCCGTGGCTAAGGTGCGGGGGCGGTTGCCCCAGAGGGCGGGGGCTATAAGGCTGGCGGGGGTGCGGCCCCAGAGGGCGGGGGGCCCCATGGCTAAGGCTGCGGGGGGGCGGGGTTGGCCCCAGAGGGCGGGGGGCCCCATGGCTAAGGCTGCAGGGTTGGCCCCAGAAAGCGGGGTTGGCACCGTGGCTAAGGCTGCGGGGGGGGCCAAGAGGGCGGGGTTTGGAGCAGCTGGCCCTGGCCTCTGTCTGAGCCAGGGTGCTGGGCTGATGGCCCCGTCGCTCGGAGCCAGGCGGGCTCCCGGCAGCCGCAGCGTCCAGGTCTCTGCCCCAGCTCTGGGGCGGACCGGAGGTGCCCGAGAGCAGGAGCCCTGGCAAAGCAGCTGCCCCGGGCCCTTCCCCAGCAGCGCGCGGGGGGCGATACCTGCCGAGCGGGGAGGGGCGGCCCGCGAAGACCCGCGCTTCCCGGGGTCGAAGGTCGGACAGGAAGCCAGGGCGCGAGCCGTGACGCCAACCAGGGGCGGAGACGGGCCTGGCAACAGGGTGCGAGCGCTGGCCCATGGGCGCGGTGACCCCTAGTGGCTCGCAGGAGACGAGCGGGGGGCAGGAAGGAAATGCACCAGGGCAATGACCTCCCATCTGCACTGGGCTTGCAGCCCTGCGGCTACATCCCCACGGCAGACAGGCCCTGAGAAGAGAAGAGAAACGGAAGACCGCGTTGCATGTTTATTATAGAGGAAGTTTCCTTTATGTAACTCCATGAGTGGTCAGTAGTAGATTGGCTGCTTGCAGAGGGAGGTGTAACTGTTGCCAGCGTTGCATGGGGAGGGTGAATCTTAGCGTTGCCAACTCTTGTGATTTTATTGTGAATCTCACAATACACTGCTGTGTTATTCTTCAAGCCCCAGCTCCTACTCTTCTGTTGTTTCAGGCGAGTGCCAGCTTTCATTTTCCCTCCACATCCTCCCTCAAAGTTGCAGCCTTGGTAGGAAAATATTATTCCCATAGCAGGGTTCTGAAAAGTTATAATGAGCGATTGCAATGGAAAGAGCTGGTCGCAGGGGGTGCCCTCCTCAGAGGCTGCTGGCCAGCTATGTGTTGGGCTGACGTACACAGGAATGATAGGTAGCCAGTTATTTGTTGTTTTGTCACTGGCTTTGCAGAGGCGAATAATCCAACTGTGAAGAGAAAGAGGGGAGACTTAGCTCTAGGATTTCGCAACGGTTCCAATGTTGTCCAGGAAATGCTGTGTGCCGTGCACAAATATTGCCCAGAAGGGTTAGTGATTTATTTATTTTTTTTGTACAGGGAGCAGGAAAGACTCCAAGTCTGTGTCCCCCAACCTGCACTTCCACATATGTGGGTCTCCTGTGCTGCTTCTATGTGGTTAGCCACGGGTGTCCACCACATACCAGAACTTCCCACACCACTTCTGCATGGCTAGCCGTGGCTATTCCATCTGTCCATGTATCAGGGCCTCCCATGTTACTTCTGGAGTGGGTAGCCATGGGTGCTCCAGGCTGCTGGGCATTCCTTGCTACTCCTGCACCTCCAGCAGTATCTCTGTGGAGCTCATCTCAGTAGTAGCAGCTCACTGCATCTCTGATGCTCTCAGGAATGGGAACAGGAGACTGCTGTGTGAAATTCATAGAATCATAGAATATCAGGGTTGGAAGGGACCTCAGGAGGTCATTTAGTCCAACCCCCTGCTCAAAGCAGGACCGATCCCCGACTAAATCATCCCAGCCAGGGCTTTGTCAAGCCTGACCTTAAAAACTTCTAGGGAAGGAGATTCCACCACCTCCCTAGGTAACGCATTCCAGTGTTTCACCACCCTTATAGCGAAAAAGTTTTTCCTAATATCCAACCTAAATCTCCCCCACTGCAACTTGAGACCATTACTCCTTGTCCTGTCATCTGCTACCACTGAGAACAGTCTAGAGCCATCCTCTTTGGAACCCCCTTTCAGGTAGTTGAAAGCAGCTATCAAATCCCCCCTCATTCTTCTCTTCTGAAGACTAAACATCCCCAGTTCCCTCAGCCTCTCCTCATAAGTCATGTGTTCCAGTCCCCTAATCATTTTTGTTGCCCTCCGCTGGACTCTTTCCAATTTTTCCACATCCTTCTTGTAATGTGGGGCCCAAAACTGGACACAGTACTCCAGATGAGGCAACAACAATGTCAAATAGAGGGGGACGATCACGTCCCTTGATCGGCTGGCAATGCCCCTACTTATAAATCCCAAAATGCCATTGGCCTTCTTGGCAACAAGGGCACACTGTTGACTCATATCCAACTTCTCGTCCACTGTAACCCCTAGGTCCTTTTCTGCAGAACTGCCGCCGAGCCATTCGGTCCCTAGTCTATAGCGGTGCATTGGATTCTTCCGTCCTAAGTGCAGGACTCTGCACTTGTCCTTGTTGAACCTCATCAGATTTCTTTGGCCCAATCCTTAATTTGTCTCGGTCCCTCTGTATCCTATCCCTACCCTCCAGCGTATCTACCACTCCTCCCAGTTTAGTGTCATCTGAAAACTTGCTGAGGGTGCAATCCACACCATCCTCCAGATCATTTATGAAGATATTGAACAAAACCGGCCCCAGGACCAACCCCTGGGGCACTCCACTTGATACCGGCTGCCAACTAGACATGGAGCCATTGATCACTACCCGTTGAGCCCGACAATCTAGCCAGCTTTCTATCCACCTTATAGTCCATTCATCCAGCCCATACTTCTTTAACTTGCTGGCAAGAATACTGTGGGAGACAGTGTCAAAAGCTTTGCTAAAGTCAAGGAACAACATGTCCACTGCTTTCCCTTCATTCACAGAGCCAGTTATCTCGTCATAGAAGGCAGTTAGATTAGTCAGGCATGACTTGCCCTTGGTGAATCCATGCTGACTGTTCCTGATCACTTTCCTCTCCTCTAAGTGCTTCAGAATTGATTCCTTGAGGACCTGCTCCATGATTTTTCCAGGGACTGAGGTGAGGCTGTCTGGCCTGTAGTTCCCAGGATCCTCCTTCTTCCCTTTTTTAAAGATGGGCACTACATTAACCTTTTTCCAGTCATCTGGGACCTCCCCTGATTACCATGAGTTTTCAAAGATAATGGCCAATGGCTCTGCAATCACATCCGCCAACTCCTTTAGCACTCTCGGATGTGGGGTTCTCTGCTCGGTGACCCCGTCCGGTTCCCTCCGTCTGACCCTTTGATTGAGGGGAAGAGCGAGAGACGCCAGCCCCAGCCGTTGCCGCTGTGGATACCATCATTCCTGTCATCTAGGAGGGGTCCTATAATACATGGGTGTCTACCCCCCCCAAAACTGCCCACCCCGCAGCCGTGCCCATCTTACTGGGCACTCTCAGGAGAGGGAGGATCGGTGACACTGGGCACGGCACTGGGTAACTCGAGGGGGTGGAAGACCACGAGTGTCGAGGAAGCCCCCCCGCTCTGGGCCCAGGCTAGCCTGAACACTTCTCCCTCCTGAAAGCTGCTGTGTTATACCTTCTGATTGCGTTGTTTTGTTGCATAGTTGTTTTGTTTCCTTTGGTAATTTTGTAAGCGTTAACAATAAACTTTCTTTCTGTTTCAAAAAAAAAAAAGCACTCTCGGATGCAACGCATCTGGCCCCATGGACTTGTGCTCGTCCAGCTTTTCTAAATAGTCCCGAACCACTTCTTTCTCCACAGAGGGCTGGTCACCTCCTCCCCATGCTGTGCTGCCCAGTGCAGTAGTCTGGGAGCTGACCTTGTTCGTGAAGACAGAGGCAAAAAAAGCATTGAGTACATTAGCTTTTTCCACATCCTCTGTCACTAGGTTGCCTCCCTCATTCAGTAAGGGGCCCACACTTTCCTTGACTTTCTTCTTGTTGCTAACATACCTGAAGAAACCCTTTTTGTTACTCTTAACATCTCTTGCTAGCTGCAACTCCAGGTGTGATTTGGCCTTCCTGATTTCACTCCTGCAAGTCCGAGCAATATTTTTATACTCATCCCTGGTCTTTTGTCCAATCTTCCACTTCTTGTAAGCTTCTTTTTTGTATTTAAGAGCAGCAAGGATTTCACTGTTAAGCCAAGCTGGTTGCCTGCCATATTTACTATTCTTTCTACACATCGGGATGGTTTGTCCCTGTAACCTCAATAAGGATTCTTTAAAATACAGCCAGCTCTCCTGGACTCCTTTCCCCCTCAAATTCAGGTGGTGTGCTCAGCTGTGAGAGCTGGACTCTGTTTGCAGTGAGGTTTGGTTGGATATTGCAGTTGGGAGAAGAGATCAGCTTGCTCCATTCTGCCTGTTTCATTTTAATGTGTCCTGCCACCTTCTTCCCCACAGAGACTGGGGTGGCAGAGTTTGCGTGGGGTCATGGGGAATTGAGGAGCGAAAGAGTGAAATGTGCAAAATGAAGGTTGTACCCCCTCTGCCCTATCGTCTGAACCCTGGCAGTGCTTGCACCTAGGATGGTTTGCATCGCAGCATTGGCAGGGCCTAAGAGCACCTGGGAGTGTGAAGAACAGAAGGAGGCTGGGGATGGTGGCTTTAGAGTAATTACAGTTTGCAGTGAAGCTGTCTTGCTAGGTAAATGAATATAAGCAAAAGTTGTGGGGTCCTTTCCCAGTTTGCAGTGGTTGTCAGCACCATATCAGGTATTTCTGCTCAGCACAGGCAGAGCTGGGTATTTTGTTACATAGCCCTTATTTCAAATGAGCTGAGTCAGGAAGTTGGCACAAGATGGGTCCCTCTACTGCTGGATTCTCCTCCCTCCGCTCCCAGGTTTTTGCTCTGAGGCCTGTTTACTAAGGGAGAGCTGCTGAAGGGTGCTGGGGGCTTGGTCTGGGAGCCTACTGGAGAAATGTAACAGACTTGCTGGTAATTGTTTCATTGATGTGAACAGCTGGTTGAATTCTGGGGTGGCAGAGGGGTGTTTACTACAGCTGAGCTCTAGGAGCCCCAGTTTGGTAGAAAGGAGGGAGCTGGGAAAAGGGAGGGAGCAATACAATAGCAGGGCTGTAGGGTGAGTGGAATGTGTAGCAGTACCTGACAAGGTGGGTTAAGGTGCCGTATGATGGACACGAGGGAGTCTTGAGTTCTAAACCCGACTTTGTTATTCTGCATGCTAGTTAATCCGTGCCTAAATTTCCCCCCAGAGATGACCATTGCTGCTTCCTGGTGGGGTTGTGAGATTTGTGGTTTGCTGTACAGTAGCATTGGGGAACCCTGAGCAAGGTTCAGGGCAGGGCCCCATTGGGCCATGGCCTGGAGGTTTTCTGTAGAGTGCTTTTAAGACAGAGTGGGGGAGTGCAAGGCAGATTTTCCAACAGTGTGTGTGTTATTGGTTGTGGGGAAGATCTGCGGGTTAAAGGGTTGTAAAGAATCACAAACAAAGGAGGGAGGGAGGAACAAGCTCTAGGGATAAAAACAGGGACCTGTTGAAAGGATGGCCAGAGAGGTAGGGCAGGACTAGGGAGACCCCCAAACCTCCCCACTCACTCTGAAGCTCCAGAGGGAGATGAAATCCTTAGAGACCAGGCTCAAAAATCCCCTGAGGACCTGTACAGCCTCACCCTCCAAACCGCCCCCATCGCCTGCCTTTGGAGGGTGCCCACACGGGGGCCGGGAGGAGGAATAAAGGGGCGCCCCCCAGGAGCCCGGAGGCGGCTGGGGAGGGTGATTTCCCCGGCTCAGTCCTGTCCCAGTCCACCCGCTCAGAGGCTCCCCAAGCGCGCAGAGTGGTGGTTGCTGCAGCTGGGCTAGGGACGGTCCGGTCCGGTCTGGTCCGGTCCGGCTCTTTGGGGACGGGCGCGGAGCCGTCTGCCCGCAGCTGTGCGTTCTCGCCTTCCCCCGCTAGGTGGGGCTCGAGCCAGGCTGGCGGGGGTGCTTCAGTGCCGCACCAGCCCGGGCGAAGGCGGCGGCGGCGGCTGTCGGGCGCCGCGCAGCAAGGCGGTAAGTGCGTGCGGTCCCCGGGGACTGGGGCGCTGGAGGCGCCTGGCTCCGGCGCGCCTTGGGGAGGCCCGGCCTGGCCTGGCCTGGCGGCGGGCAGCGCTCGGGCGCGCTGGCCGAGGCGTGCCGGTAACCAGGGCTGCTGCCCCCCTCGCCCCCTTGAGAGCTGGGGGCGCAGGCAGGCTGGGCCTGGGGGCTGGCGATGGCCCCGGTGGAGGGGCGCACAGGCCCGGAGTCGCTCCGGCGCACTGCGATGCTGCGGGGAGGGGCTCTAGCCGTGGGGGCCGGCTACTTTGGAGCGCCGGTGGCGCGGCTGGAGGCGGGGAAGCGCTTGGTAAACAAGGGCGTGTCCCAGGACACTTGGGCAGAGGTGGGCCTGGCAGCCCCAAGCTCCGGCCGGCGGCCCCTGGAACTCCTGCTCTGATGCGCCCGGGTGGGGTGAGGTTTTGTGGGACAGACTCTTCTGCTCTGGTTCAAAGATGCCCAGAAGGGAGCAGGTGACAGAGCGTCTCTCTGCCCGCGAAGGCAAGCATGGCACGCGCGCCTCCACAGCGGATGCCACGCCAGAGCGGCTGGACCAGGTCATCTCGGAGCAGGCCGCCCTGCGTGAAGCCCTGGCCTCCCTCTCACAGGAGCTGTGTAAGCTGGCAAAATGCCTGGAGGAGACGGCTGGCCGGGTGGAAGCCCTGGATGCCAAGGTGGTGACCACACAGAGCTGCGTGGTGAAGCACGCGGCTCTGATGAGAGAGTGGCCCAGGGCGGCCTGGAGACAGAGCGCCGGCTGGAAGAGCTGGAGAACAGGGTGCGGGCCCGGAACATCAGGGTCATTGGGGTCCCGGCTGCTGTGGGAGACACAGACCTCATCCCCTTCTTGGAAAATCTGGTGCAGCTTACCTGGGCTTAAATGCGAAGGAAGCTCCTATGCGTATAGAAAGCGCATACCGGCTTCCCATGAGGGAAGCAGGCGGCGGTGCCCAGGTGGATGGTGCTGGCACTGTGCTAATGACCCTCTCCGATTTCTGGGCCCGAGAGAGAATTCTGCGGGCAGCACGGGCCTGCTGCACGACCAAATTCCAAGGCCCCAAGGTCTCCTTCTTCCCCGACCTCAGCCCTGCCACACATGCCCGGCGGCAGCGCCTCGTGGTGCTCAAGCAAGCGTTTGTGAAGGAGGGGGCTCAGGCCTACGTCCTGTACCCTGCCAAACTAAAGGTCCTGTGCCGGGGGCAAACCTATGTCTTCAGAGACTGCACATCTGCAGCCCGCCTGCTGGATGAGATCAGACAAGGTAGTCGGTAGTGGGTGCAGAGAGCAAGGCTGAGCTTAAAGTGAAAGGCCCAGGGCCTGCCTGCTGGTGGGCAGTAAGATGCTGGGGCACTTCTCGCATTGCAGTGCAGCATTGAGTGCTGAGTTCCTTAGGGGCATGCTCAATAAAGGGGAGTCATGTTTGCTCTGTCTGTCATGTGGATGAGCCGCTCAGGTAATTGGGAGCCATGGATGACTGAGGTATGGCATGTCCAAGACAGCGGCTTTCTCCTTGCCTAAAGCCTCCCCTGTTTTTGGTTTTCCTGGCTACAGTATTCTTCCTCCTCCGTATTTGTGTGCTTAGATCGTCAGCTCTTGGAAGCAAGGACTGTCTCTTTGTTCTGCATTCATACAACTCCTAGCATGGTGGGGGCCTCGTCCATAAGTGGAGGCCCTTAGCCCCACCACAATGCAAATAAAAACTGAGTGTTGATGTGCATCATCCAGCAACTATTATGTTTCACCCCAGAAGTGGCTGGATGTCAGTGATGGAGGAAGTGAGCTTCCAATGTCACTTGTAAAGTGCATTGGGGCCCTTCTGGATCAGATGCGTGTCAGTTACCATCACGTTAATTACTTGCACCTTGATGACAGGACAGCTTTCAGCTTGAGTCAGGTAGTGCCTGTGTGGAGAACCTGACCCCATTCAAAGATCTCATTCCCTCTGTGTGTTTGTGCTTCTTTGAAATGCTGTTGGCCAAACATTCAAAGCCCTTGAAAGCAAATAGTGCAGAGTACATGCCCAGCCTCAGGGCTTCCATGCAGCTTGCATGGCTTGCCGTCTGGGGAGGCCTTTGAAAATCTCATCCCTGAGACTTAGCTGCTGCCCACAGGACACAGAGAATAATTGGGGCACCTGGAGGATGCTGGGGCCCCTCAGTGCTGTCTGGGAACAATAGAGTACAGCAAGTGGGGCCCCTCTGACCTTGAGCACTCACCTGTGGCATTCTTCTTATGCACACCAAATTAATTACAGGTTTCAGAGTAACAGCCGTGTTAGTCTGTCTTTGCAAAAAGAAAAGAAGTACTTGTGGCACCTTAGAGACTAACCAATTTATTTGAGCATAAGCTTTCGTGAGCTACAGCTCACTTCATCGGATGTAGCTCACGAAAGCTTATGCTCAAATAAATTGGTTAGTCTCTAAGGTGCCACAAGTCCTCCTTTTCTTTTTGCAAATTAATTACAGAAAGCGTCTCCCAAGCAGCAAGTAGGGAGTTGTTTCTCCTTGCAAGCATGTCTTTGCTTGTGAGCCTCCTGCAGAGCCAACTCTGTTAGGGCCCTTCCATCCCCTCTACGCTGAGCAGGGGAGAATTCCCCAAGTGCAGGGCCTGCCAAGGACTCCAGACAGCACTGAACTCCTTAGGGTGTTATATGGGGCCCCTCTATGCTGGGGGGCAGTGAAGTGCATTGCCCTGTCCATCAAAGGCGGTGTAATGACTGTGCAGGGAGGGCAGCCCAGCCCAGCGTTCTGTTAATCTGCTAGCACTGGCGGCCCAGAGCTCAAGGCTGGCTGTTCTCTCTGGCCGTGCTCTGCCGTGTGATGTGCTGCAACCCAGGGGTTCAGATTTAAAACTCTGCTGTAGAAAGGGCTGGATAGTGCAAGAGATTGAATAATGGGCCACGGAGTCTCGCCAGGGTACCTGCTCAAACCCCGCCTCCGCTGGTGCTTCCTAGCAGGCAGGTTTGTGGATAACTGGCCCCCATGGAGACTGGCCTCTAATTTCTCCCTTATAGCTGGGTCCCTCACACTGGGGCTGGAAAGGGGGAAGCTTTCACTGCTGCGGCACCTGTGCTGTGGGTTAAGGGATGCTGCTGTCTAGGGCCATCGGTCTGATGCCCTGGCACTAAGCCCCCTGTAAGGAGGAGAGTGCCCCTGAAGATGTGCCAGGTGACATGAGTGTGAAGTTTCCTGAATACTGGAACATGCTGGGAGCAGCTCCCTACAGTACCAGCCAGGCGCCTGCAATAACCATAACTGGGGGGGAAGGCCAGTTGGGGGGCCTTTAGGTGCTACTATGTTTGGGGATCTGGAGGGAGTCTGCCACCCATGTCTTGGGATCTGACCCGTGTTTTCTCAGGGCTGTTGCATGTCCCGCGGGTGTGTTGGGGGGTGGGACGGAACATGGAGCTGGGAAGGTTCTGGGCGGTTGGGAGTGATGGGTGGGGTGGTTGTGGGGGCAGCAGGAGGCTTCAGGGACAAAGCAGGGGAAAAGGCAGCAGGGACAGTAAAGGGGAGGCAGGGGGAGTGCCTGGGAGGAGATCAGTGTCAGGGCCTGTGTGGGGGGTGGAGGTGGCATAGAAACCACAGATCCTGGGGAGTGGGTAGGCTGTGAAAGCCACTGTGCGGAGGAGTCCTGCCAGTGCCAGGTGGGCCAGGCTGGACCCCTCTCTGCAAGGGGGCACCTGTTTGTTAAACTCTTCCTCTGTGCAGCGACCCCCCAGCACTAGTTGGTTCCCAGGGGTAAGTGATTTGGGGCAGGGGAGAGGTACAGTGAGGGTGTTGGCTGTTGCTACCTAACACAGTGCAGGTGCTGGGGTCACAGCCCCAGCCCAGGGGGCTCCAGACCAGCCTGCCTCCCTTCGGGCATGACCAGGATGGTGGCTAGGAGTGAGAATGAGGCAGAGAGACCAACACCGGCTGCTTCCCTGAGCCTTAGACAGGGTAGGGCCCGGCCTGAATCGGCCTCTGACCCTGGGCCTGAAGTGTCTCATCCTAGTGACCGTAACACCAGAATTTCTGCGCTCTGCTGCAAACGTCCCCCAAACGTCTCTTCTGGCCTAGGGTCATGCATGAGACTTCGGGGGTAAAGGAAGCCCCATCATTCCCCATCCCCAATAAAAAGCTGGGGGCCAGAATCCACCTTGGTCCCCACCCCCCTGTGGTGCCCTGGTATTTGGGTGGGGAAGGACGCATTCCTGATTGGGAGGTTGCCCTGGGGGATAACTGTGCCACCTTAGTGTGCGTGTGTTGCCCCGGTCAAGTATGCATCCCTCTTCTCCTGGTCATTGCTGAGCCACGAGGTCCCTTGTCTCCTCTTCCATGGCTGGGCCTTGCTGTGCGTGGCGCTGTCTGAGCTGCAGCATGGAGCCGGCACTCAGCTGTTCACCTTCTCTCTCTGCCCCTTTCAGAACGGCTGACGATGGCTTTGATCCGCAACAGACTGGGGCTGCTGGTCCTCGGGGTCCTCGTCACCTTTGTCCTCTACCTGTTGCTCCCTGCAATCCAGCACGAGAGGTTCACGTCCAGGGCAGGCAGCCACAAGGCCCAGGCCAGGGCTGAGGAGAAGGGCCAGCAAGATGTCAATGTCACCGTCCTAACAGGGACCATTGCAGGGAGCCCGTCCATCTTATTCAGAGAAGGCTTCCTGCTCCAGAGAGCTGGGACTCCCAGCCCCAAAAGGTGGGTTAGTCTTCTGGCCACCAGAGCTGGTTCTGGTGTCAGCACTGTGGGTCATCGTAAGCAGTCTATATCCTAGATCAGCTGCCCTAGATCTGTGCTCTTATCTGAGCTCCTAGGATGAGCAGGGTCTGGCTCACCCGGTACGGGAGTGGGAAACTTCCAAGAAAAACCTGGGGCAGGTGATTCAGTAGCTGGTGCTACTCTCTGTAAATCAGCCCTGTATGGTGTTGGGGTTGGGGCAGGGGTGAGAGTAATTTAAAGGACTTACAGGTACTCTGGAGTCCTGAGCAGGGGGCGTGGCCTCAACCAGAAGAGGCTGGACCTTTAAATACCCGGGCCCTTTAAATCAAGATTTAAAGGCCCTGGGGCTCCGGCTGCGGCTGGGAGCCCCGGGGCCTTTAAATCACCCCTGGAGCTACCAGCTGCAGAGGCAGCTGGTAGCCCTGGGGCTCAGGGTCAACTTAAAGGGCCCGGGGCTCCGGCTGCTGCTACCGCTGCGGAGCCCCTGGTCCTTTAAATCACCGCCGGAGCCCAGGGCTAGTGGTGGTGGGGCTCTGGCGGCGCTTTAAAGGGCTTGAGGCTCTGGCTGCTGCAGGGAGCTCCAGGACCTTTAAAGCGCCAGCCTGGGGAAGCTGGTCCGGTCCGGCACAGCATACTGGCTCTTGCCGGTACACCATACCGGCTTACTTTCACCTCTGGGTGGGGGTGAGCTTCCCAGGGGACCCCAAAATGCCCAGTTCCTGACCGCTTGTAGTCACTATATATCCTTTGTCACTCCTTGCAAGACTAGGGATCTTATCCCAGGTGCTCATCCCAAATCTTAATTACTCTTAAATGTCCGTCCAGTTGAAACTGCAGTGCTGGTGTTTGTTCATTTCCTGTCTGACACAGTTTGGTGAGCTCTGAAATAGCTGCTGCGTTCCACCCCAGAGGTGGCTGCACTTCTCCGTAGCGGGAAGTGACTCTCCTATGTGTTCAGCAGGGATCAGCCAAATCTGCTGATCCAGAGGCCACCTTGGATCTACGTAGATAATGGTGACAAACAAAACATAGTGACTGTCATCCTAACAGCCCCAGGCTCTCCTGCTGGTAAACTAGCACCGAAACAGCCTCCCCTGCCCCAGCCACAGCAGGGTGGGTCCCACTTCCCTCCTGGCGGGTGCCCCTCTACCTGCTGTTGTGTCCTCTGCAGGCTGGAGGTGGTTTTTCTGCACGGCCAGGCTTTTACTTCGAAGACCTGGGAGGACCTTGGGACGCTGACCCTGCTCTCAGAGGAAGGATATCGCTCTGTTGCTATCGACCTGCCTGGTAGGAATATGCCACCCACGTATCCCAAGTTAATTTCTGCCTGCAGCGATAGCTCCCGTCTCCCTCTGCCCGCCAGCCAGCTGGCATGTGCCAAAGAGACTGTACAGCCCCATGCCTCTTTAAGTGGTCAGTTCCAGGGAGTCACATGTTCTAGAGATGTTCACTACATACACCATGCTTGTGCCCCTGGATCTGTTCCTCTCCTGGGGGTGCTGCCCGTACGCACTGGGCAGAAGGCTGGGGCTTCGGCAGGGATTTTGATTTTGCGACACTGTTCCACATTGCCCTGGAGATGTAGCAAGACTAGCATATGTGAGTCCTGCTGGCATGCAAACCCAGCACGTCTGCTAATTAACTTGCATGTCCCACAAGAAATCTCTATTGCACTGGCTCCTCGCTGGGGTGAGGCCTGTTGGGGGCGAGGGAGGAAAGGTTTAGGATGGTGAAACCTTCCTCCTGCTACAGGCTCTGGCTCCCCATGCAGACGCCTTTGCCTGGGCCTTCGGGGCAGGCTAACCCCTCCTCCTCCTCCGCAGGCTACGGCAACTCCCCACTTTCCGATTCTGTCTCCACGGAGCAGGGCCGTGTCACCTTCCTGCTGCATGTGCTGAAGGAGCTGGGGATCCAGAGGCCAGTTCTGATCAGCCCGTCCATGAGTGGCCACTATTCCGTCCCCTTTGTCCTAGTACATGGGGCGCAGCTGAAGGGCTTTGTGCCCATTGCGCCTGTGGGGACCCAGGAGTACACGGCCCAGCAGTACCAGCAGGTCCAGGTATGGCAGGGAAGGAGAAGCATCTGGCTCTGGGGCAGGAGACAGAGCTGGTCCCTAGAGCAGAGGCTTCTCAGCTGCTCGGTCGGGGGTGGGGGTAATCAGGGCCTGACTCACAGAGGAATTTGTCCAGTTTTGTGACTGCAGCCCGGAGCTTCTCTAGTCACTGCAGCAATGGCTTGTCAGCCCAGCGTGCTGCAGTACAACTCCCCATCTCAGCTACAGCCTTCTCTGAGGCTAGGAGGCTGTGTGTTTGTGTGGAGGGGAAGATGAAGAGGCTGTGGACCCCACTCCCCGGGGCGCTGTGTGTGGGAAGGGCAGCCCTAGACCCCATGCTCTCTGGGGTTGGGGGGCATGGTCGCAGGCTCCCCAAGGCTCTGGGGTGGGGGTTTGAGCCCCAAGCTCCCAGGGGGCCCTGGGATACACTCTGCCTGGACACCTCTGCCCTGTCTCAGAGCTACACTGCTCTCCAGGTCACTTGAGTCCCTCGTGCCGTGCTCTCGGGGCAGCGCAGGTGGGCGGCGGTCTGTTGCCAGCCTCCCGCTGCTGAGGGGTGGCGAAGGTCTGACGGCTGAAGTTCTCCCTGTCTCTCTGCAGACACCGACTCTGATCATCTATGGTGAGCGCGACTCCGGCCTGGGCGCTCAGTCCCTGCAGAGCCTGCAGCAGCTCCCGAAGCACAAAGTGGTGGTGCTGCCTGACGCCGGCCATGCCTGCTACCTGGAGAAGCCTCGCGAGTTCCACGAGGTGCTGCTAGCCTTCCTGGGCGAGCTGCAGTGAACGTGGACCCACCTGGGGCCGGAGCCTGGCTGCGCTGAGCTTTGGCTGCGTGGCTGGGACGCTGACTCTCTGACCCCGTCATTAAGGGCTGTGGGACTTGTCCGGGGGTGGGGAGTTCTCACCGCTGCCGCCCTCCTGGGTCTCTGATCCTGCGGCAAGTCAGGCTGGAGGAGGTGTGGGAGCCAGGGGCTTGGTAAGGGACTTGTTGGATGTTGTCAGCCTCTGCAGGGTGATGTGCCAGGTGCTGGGATTCTGCCTGCTTAGGGGCATGATTCTGCTGTGTGTGTCGGGAGGTAACCAGCCCCATGCCAGCTTCTGGCTGTGCTCTCCTGTTGCACGATCCTCGTGTTTGTTGTTTTCTCATCCCCCTGCCTTGCCTCTCTGCAAGGAGCCCTCGCTAGGGCCATGAACCGTTGCTGCTGAATGATGGGCTGGTGTGTTCGCCTGAGGGGTGGGGGACAGGCCAGGTGACTTTCTGGGGCTTGTTCCAAAGAGCGTCACTGTAGAGTAGCTGAGCATCTCACTTGGCAGGGGCTGAGGTGCGGCGGGGCTTGGTCCCCACCAATGGCTCCGATGGGTTAGCGGTTGTGTCTGATTGTTGTTTGTAGGGGGCGTTAAATGGGCCCTTTGCCCGCAAAGCAAGGGCCGTTGGCATGTTTCCGGGGGGGTGAATGATTTAACTCCTGGGTGGGTAAGCTGCTCTGACCAGGCCCAGAGGAGGGAGCTCTGTGGAGGAGTCTGGTATGAGACCAATAAACCATTTGTACAGTGCTTTCTGGGTGTCTCTCTGGTGAGGCCATGCCGGGCTGTCTGTGTTTGCCCCCCCCCCCCCAGCAGTGGGTAACTCCTGCACCCCGGAGCTGGGGCTTTGAGGTAGGAGGCTGGCTCCTAACTACTGTGCGCCCTGGATGCCACACCAGAGTTTTGTGTCCGTAGCTGCTTTCCTGCGTGCAGTGGCAGCCAGCTGGCTGCATGCAGAGTGGCCTTGGGCGCTCTCAGCTCCACCTGTCCCCTGCCTCTCCTCTAGGACAGGTCCCGGAGCAGCCAAGGGGGCGCTGGCCGCTTGAGCCCATCCTGCAGTAGATGAGCAGAGAGCCGCCCTGTGTGCAGCTCCACGGGCGATGGAGCTGTCGCTGCTGGGTGGGGCGGTGGGAGCTTGGCTCTCTGGGACAGGGACTGTCTTGTCCGGGCAGTGCCTAGGCGAATAGGCCCTGATCCTTCAGGGGGGTCCCTACTAGCAGTGGGGGGACCAATGGCAGCAGTGCACTTGCTGTCTGCACTCACAAACTCCATGGCCCGAAGTATCTCTCTGCTGGTTCTAACCACGGAATACCTCCCTAGTCCATACTGCAGGTCCCCCTTTTCTCTGTTCTTGGGGGCTCGTGGCCTCAGTTGAGTGTTACCACTCCAGAACGTGTTGCAGAACTTCCCTGAACAAACGCAGCCTGTCCAGTGCTGGGACTTCTATCACAGCAAGCCCTGGGCCAGCCAGCCCCCCCCAGGTGGTGTCTGTCCGTCACCGCAGCTCAGACTTTGGTGGCGAGGGGCTAATTGCCACTTGGTGTTTCTGAACTAGAATGATTCCAGTCTCCTTGCCAAGCCTCCTCCTGGTGCCCTGTCCTGCCCACTACATTCTGTCTGGTTCTGCTAACATTGCAACTCTGCCACTCCAGTAATTAGCCTCTCTGCAGATATTCCAAAGAGCTGGCTAAGAAATCATTTCCCATCCTCCGGGAGCTGACTTTACTGCTCCCCCTCCCTGTTGAATGGAAAGGACAAGTTGTTACCCGGTGAACCCAGCCTCCAGTGAGGAGCTGATCAGACCGATTCATCCCCTGTTTGTGCTATGTTCCACCCCAGACCTGGCTGCATTTTAGGAGGTGAATCTGGCTAAGTCTTATACCATGTCTTCCGAGATGAATCCTGCCCTGGGACCCTTCAGGGTAGCTCTAACTAGCCGTGAGAGGAAGCACTGTGGGGTAAGCTCCCTGCCCCACGGTCCCCAGCAAAGTGGGAGCAGTAGTTCTGAAGGGAAGTCCATGCTCGTCTACTAGGAGCCTTGATCCTCTCCCAAATGTATCAGCGCAAAGCCACTTTTCTTAGGTTGATACTGAATGGGACTCTCTTTGCCACTGTCAGGCAAGGTGGGGTCACTGCGCAGCAATGAAAGTGGTGGCCTTCATGCCAGATATCCCCAAAATGCACTGTATAGATACTCCCCCACATTGCACGCACAGCTTAGCATCTGGCAACTGCTCAGCCAGGCTGTGCAGCAGCGGGGCGGCCCAGCAGTCAGAGCACAGTTAAACTCAGCAGGACGTGGGCCATGATGGTGGATTTCCAGGCAGCAAGGTGTAAATCAGTCTGGGGTGGATCTTGGCAGTGGCACATTGCAGCTATGGGTGTTCTGCATTCCCCAAGTGTTCCTGTTGGACTGGCAGCTACAGTGAGACCGTACTGATGATCCATGTTGCCTTCAGGGCAGGGGTTGGGGTCACTAGGACCCCACTGAGGGGGCGAGGAGTTGTTTAAACAGTTACAACTCATAGTGAGCCACCCATAATGCTTCCCACCCCCAAAGCTCTGTACACCCAGTAACCACTGGCCTCACCATGCTGCCAGGGGCAGGGAAGAGCATTAACCCTGATTGATGGGGAAACTGAGGCAGGCTGTGACGTGACTTGTTCAAAGTGGGAGAGGGGAGTGAACGTCGGATTAAGGATCAGAACTCAGGATCTCCTGGCTGCCAGTCCTGTGCATGGGCTGCTCAGATGGGGCTGCTCAGATGGGGCTCCACTGAACCTAAGGTTTCAGAGGAACAGCCGTGTTAGTCTGTATTCGCAAAAAGAAAAGGAGTACTTGTGGCACCTTAGAGACTAACCAATTTATTTGAGCATGAGCTTTCGTGAGCCACAGCTCACTTCATCAGATGTGTACCGTGGAAACTGCAGCAGACTTTATATACACACAGAGAATATGAAACAATACCTCCTCCCACCCCACTGTCCTGCTGGTAATAGCTTATCTAAAGTGATCAACAGGTGGGCCATTTCCAGCACAAATCCAGGTTTTCTCACCCTCCCCCCCCCACACAAATTCACTCTCCTGCTGGTGCTAGCCCATCCAAAGTGACAACTCTTTACATAATCAAGTCGGGCTATTTCCTGCATAGATCCAGGTTTTCTCACTTCCCCCCCCCACCCCCATACACACACAAACTCACTCTCCTGCTGGTAATAGCTCATCTAAACTGACCACTCTCCAAGTTTAAATCCAAGTTAAACCAGAACATCTGGGGGGGGGGGGGTAGGAAAAAACAAGAGGAAACAGGCTACCTTGCATAATGACTTAGCCACTCCCAGTCTCTATTTAAGCCTAAATTAATAGTATCCAATTTGCAAATGAATTCCAATTCAGCAGTTTCTCGCTGGAGTCTGGATTTGAAGTTTTTTTGTTTTAAGATAGCGACCTTCATGTCTGTGATTGCGTGACCAGAGAGATTGAAGTGTTCTCCGACTGGTTTATGAATGTTATAATTCTTGACATCTGATTTGTGTCCATTTATTCTTTTACGTAGAGACTGTCCAGTTTGACCAATGTACATGGCAGAGGGGCATTGCTGGCACATGATGGCATATATCACATTGGTGGATGTGCAGGTGAACGAGCCTCTGATAGTGTGGCTGATGTTATTAGGCCCTGTGATGGTGTCCCCTGAATAGATATGTGGGCACAATTGGCAACGGGCTTTGTTGCAAGGATAAGTTCCTGGGTTAGTGGTTCTGTTGTGTGGTATGTGGTTGTTGGTGAGTATTTGCTTCAGGTTGCGGGGCTGTCTGTAGGCAAGGACTGGCCTGTCTCCCAAGACTTGTGAGAGTGTTGGGCCATCCTTTAGGATAGGTTGTAGATCCTTAATAATGCGTTGGAGGGGTTTTAGTTGGGGGCTGAAGGTGACCGCTAGTGGCGTTCTGTTATTTTCTTTGTTAGGCCTGTCCTGTAGGAGGTAACTTCTGGGAACTCTTCTGGCTCTATCAATCTGTTTCTTTACTTCTGCAGGTGGGTATTGTAGTTGTAAGAAAGCTTGACAGAGATCTTGTAGGTGTTTGTCTCTGTCTGAGGGGTTGGAGCAAATGCGGTTGTATCGCAGAGCTTGGCTGTAGACGATGGATCGTGTGGTGCGTGGGTGGGGCTTTCGGTTTGGCCTAGCCTCCCTGGGCTGCTGCCACGGGGAACATAGAAAAGCGGTGCTAAAGACAAGTATTGCAGGGGTATGGGGACACTCTGCCTGGGCTAACTGGCCTGGAGCTGATCAGGGGAAGGGGGTGTTGGGTGTTGAATGAACAGCTGGAGAGCTGAAGTGAGCTCAAGAGATGCACCGGGAAAGGGCACGACTGGGTGGGAAGGAAAGGAATTTTATAAACTGGGTGGATTCTCATAAAGGGGATGAGTGAGCTAGCTAGCTCAGGAGAGAAGGGAAAACCTCTGGGGTAGAGAAGGAGCAAGGTGGGCCAGGTAGGAGCCCTATTCGGGGTTAGGGAGACACCCAGGGTACGGAGACCTGGTGTCCTCTTCCGAGAGGAGTTTGAAGGCCAAAGGGCTAGAGGGAAAGGCCCTATGGGTTGGAATCCTGGCCAGAGGGCAGCCAGAAGCAGGAGTGAGCTCCTAAACCCACAGGTGGGGGGTGAATCATAGAATATTAGGGTTGGAAGAGACCTCAGGAGGTCATCTAGTCCAATCCCCTGCTCAAAGCAGGACCAACCCCAACTAAATCATCCCAGCCAGGGCTTTGCCAAGCCGGGCCTTAAAAACCTCTAAGGATGGAGATTCCATCACCTCCCTAGGTAACCGATTCCAGTGCTTCACCACCCTCCTAGTGAAATAGTGTTTCCTAATAGCCAACCTAGACCTCCCCCATTGCAACTTGAGACCACTGCTTCTTGTTCTGTCATCTGGCACCACTGAGCTCCATCCTCTTTGAAACCCCCTTCAGGTAGTTGAAGGCTGCTATCAAATCCCTCCGCTCACTCTTCTCTTCTGCAGACTAAATAACCCCACTGCTTTCCCCATATCCACAGAGCCAGTTATCTCATCATAGAAGGCAATCAGGTTGGTCAGGCGTGACTTGCCCTTAGTGAATCCATGTTGACTGTTCCTGATCACCTTCCTCTCCTCCAAGTTCTTCAAAATGGATTCCTTGAGGACCTGCTCCATGATTTTGCCGGGGACTGAAGTAAGGCTGTAGTTCCCCAGGTTCTCTTTTTTTAAATATGGTCCCTTCTGACCTTAGTATCTATGAATCTATATTTGTCTTTTTCCAGTCATCTGGGACTGCCCCCGATCACCACGAATATTCAAAGATAATGGCCAATGGCTCTGCAATCGCATCAGCCAACTCCCTGGATGCAATAGATTTGGATCCATGGACTTGTGCACATCCAGCTTTTCTAAATAGTCCTTAACCTGTTCTTTCGCCACTGGCTGCTCACCTACTCCCCATGCTGTGTTGTGCAGTGCAGCAGTCTGGGAGCTGCCCTTGTCTGTGAAGACTGAGGCAAAAAAGCATTGAGTACTTCAGCTTTTTCCACATCATCTGTCACTAGGTTGCCTCCCCCATTTAGTAAGGGTCCCACACTTACCCTGACCACCTTCCTGTTGCTAACGTACCTGTAGAAACCCTTCTTGTTACCCTTCACATCCCTTGCTAGCTGCAACTCCAGTTGTGCCTTGGCCTTCCTGATTACACCCCTGCATGCTCTAGCAATATTTTTATAGTCCTCCCCAGTCATCTGTCCAAATTTCCACTTCTTGTCAGCTTCCTTTTTGAGTTTAAGCTCATCGAAGATTTCAGTTTGCGGATACAGACTAACACGGCTGCTACTCTGAAACCTCTCACTGATGGGCTACGTTACCCCGGCCAAGCCACGGTGGCTCCCACATTTAGACTCTTGTGCCTCAAATGAGGCACTTAAAGGTAGATAAAGGCAAGGACGTAGGAATGGCCTGTTTTTTCTGAGGGGCTGCTCCCGCTCCAATGCAGTCACTAGAGGTGAGGGCTAGGGTCCCTGCTGGAAAGCGGGCCATTGTCATTTATGCACCTGTATTTGGAAGGTATTGGTGCTTCTGCATCTCTGCGCCTCAGTTTCCCTGTCTGTACAATCTGGCTGATGATACTGACATGCCCCAGAGAGCAGCTGGGAGGCTTGTCCCTTTGAATTCCTCAGCTGGAAGGGGCCATGGGAGGGTCAGGGGAACAGTATCCTCTGTCTATGGTGCTACAGGTTCATCATGGGCAATTCAGAACCAGCAAAGATCCCCCTTCCCTATCCCATTCCAGTTCTCTGCCCTGGGTTTGCAGGAGGGCAGGAAGTGACCCTGGAAGAGGAAAATAATCAGAAGAGAGGGACCAGAGCTGGAATGGCAGGACCCAGCTCTCTCCTACTCCTGTGTTTGAGGTGGTGGGGAGAGGGAGTTTCTGGTCCCATCTCTGCTCAAGATAATCTTCAAAGAGCTAGTTGAGCAATAAGCCCTTAGGTGACTAGGGCAGCCATGCGGGCCCTGGGCTGTGGAAAGTTCAGGGTTCACTTGTCCCGCTCCCCTGCAGCTGGTTAAACTTTCTGTTGATCATCATGCCCTGGTAGGAGTGACCCAGCTGGGTCATTCACCAGGGGGCCTCATGCCTTACAGGGCCTGGGCTGAGTGCTGGGCAGTGGCTGGATTTTGTGGGATGCAGGGTGGGTCAAGCATATGACCAATCTTTCCTCTGGAAGAGAATGTGGCTCTTGCTGACACTAAGCCCTGGTCTACACTAGGACTTTAGGTCGAATTTAGCAGCGTTAAATCGATGTGAACCTGCACCCGTCCACACAATGAAGCCCTTTATTTCGACTTAAAGGGCTCTTAAAATCGATTTCCTTACTCCACCCCTGACAAGTGGATTAGCGCTTAAATCGACGTTGCCGGCTCGAATTTGGGGTACTGTGGACACAATTCGATGGTATTGGCCTCCGGGAGCTATCCCAGAGTGCTCCATTATGACCGCTCTGGAGAGCACTCTCAACTCAGATGCACTGGCCAGGTAGACAGGAAAAGAACCGCGAACTTTTGAATCTCATTTCCTGTTTGGCCAGCGTGGCAAGCTGCAGGTGACCATGCAGAGCTCATCAGCACAGGTGACCATGATGGAGTCCCAGAATCGCAAAAGAGCTCCAGCATGGACCAAACGGGAGGTACGGGATCTGATCGCTGTTTGGGGAGAGGAATCCGTGCTATCAGAACTCCGTTCCAGTTTTCGAAATGCCAAAACCTTTGTGAAAATCTCCCAGGGCACGAAGGACAGAGGCCATAACAGGGACCCGAAGCAGTGCCGCGTGAAACTGAAGGAGCTGAGGCAAGCCTACCAGAAAACCAGAGAGGCCAACAGCCGCTCTGGGTCAGAGCCCCAAACATGCCGCTTCTATGATGAGCTGCATGCCATTTTAGGGGGTTCAGCCACCACTACCCCAGCCGTGTTGTTTGACTCCTTCAATGGAGATGGAGGCAATACGGAAGCAGGTTTTGGGGATGAAGAAGATGATGATGAGGAGGAGGTTGTAGATAGCTCACAGCAAGCAAGCGGAGAAACCGGTTTTCCCGACAGCCAGGAACTGTTTCTCACCCTGGACCTGGAGCCAGTACCCCCCGAACCCACCCAAGGCTGCCTCCTGGACCCAGCAGGTGGAGAAGGGACCTCTGGTGAGTGTACCTTTTAAAATACTATACATGGTTTAAAAGCAAGCATGTGAAAGGATTACTTTGCCCTGGCATTTGCGGTTCTCCTAGATGTAGTCCTAAAGCCTTTGCAAAAGGTTTCTGGGGAGGGCAGCCTTATTGCGTCCTTCATGGTAGGACACTTTACCACTCCAGGCCAGTAACACGTACTCGGGAATCATTGTAGAACAAAGCATTGCAGTGTATGTTTGCTGGCATTCAAACAACATCCGTTCTTTATCTCTCTGTGTTATCCTCAGGAGAGTGAGATATAATTCATGGTCACCTGGTTGAAATAGAGTGCTTTTCTTCAGGGGACACTCAGAGGAGCCCATTCCTGCTGGGCTGTTTGCCTGTGGCTAAACAGAAATGTTCCCCGCTGTTAGCCACAGGGAGGGGGGAAGGTTGAGGGGGTAGTCACGCGGTGGGAGGAGGCAAAATGCGACCTTGTAACGAAAGCACATGTGCTATGTATGTAATGTTAACAGCAAGGTTTACCCTGAAAGAGTGTAGCCACTGTTTTATAAAATGTGTCTTTTAAAATACCGCTGTCCCTTTTTTTTTCTCCACCAGCTGCATGTGTTTCAATGATCACAGGATCTTCTCCTTCCCAGAGGCTAGTGAAGCTTAGAAAGAAAAAAAAACGCACTCGCGATGAAATGTTCTCCAAGCTCATGCTGTCCTCCCACACTGACAGAGCACAGACGAATGCGTGGAGGCAAATAATGTCAGAGTGCAGGAAAGCACAAAATGACCGGGAGGAGAGGTGGCGGGCTGAAGAGAGTAAGTGGCGGGCTGAAGAGAGTAAGTGGCGGGCTGAAGACAGGGCTGAAGCTCAAATGTGGCGGCAGCGTGATGAGAGGAGGCAGGATTCAATGCTGAGGCTGCTGGAGGATCAAACCAGTATGCTCCAGTGTATGGTTGAGCTGCAGCAAAGGCAGCTGGAGCACAGACTGCCACTGCAGCCCCTCTGTAACCAACCGCCCTCCTCCCCAAGTTCCATACCCTCCACACCCAGACACCCAAGAACGCGGTGGGGGGGCCTCCGGCCAACCAGCCACTCCACCACAGAGGATTGCCCAAAAAAAAGAAGGCTGTCATTCAATAAATTTTAAAGTTGTAAACTTTTAAAGTGCTGTGCTTAAAGTGCTGTGTGGCATTTTCCTTCCCTCCTCCACCACCCCTCCTGGGCTACCTTGGTAGTCATCCCCCTATTTGTGTGAGGAATGAATAAAGAATGCATGAATGTGAAGCAACAATGACTTTATTGCCTCTGCAAGCGGTGATTGAAGGGAGGAGGGGCGGGTGGTTAGCTTACAGGGAAGTAGAGTGAACCAAGGGGCGGGGGGTTTCATCAAGGAGAAACAAACAGAACTTTCACACCGTAGCCTGGCCAGTCATGAAACTGGTTTTCAAAGCTTCTCTGATGCGTACCGCGCCCTCCTGTGCTCTTCTAACCGCCCTGGTGTCTGGCTGCGCGTAACCAGCAGCCAGGCGATTTGCCTCAACCTCCCACCCCGCCATAAACGTCTCCCCCTTACTCTCACAGATATTGTGGAGCACACAGCAAGCAGTAATAACAGTGGGAATATTGGTTTCGCTGAGGTCTAAGCGAGTCAGTAAACTGCGCCAGCGCGCCTTTAAACGTCCAAATGCACATTCTACCACCATTCTGCACTTGCTCAGCCTGTAGTTGAACAGCTCCTGACTACTGTCCAGGCTGCCTGTGTACGGCTTCATGAGCCATGGCATTAAGGGGTAGGCTGGGTCCCCAAGGATACATATAGGCATTTCAACATCCCCAACAGTTATTTTCTGGTCTGGGAATAAAGTCCCTTCCTGCAGCTTTTGAAACAGACCAGAGTTCCTGAAGATGCGAGCATCATGCACCTTTCCCGGCCATCCCACGTTGATGTTGGTGAAACGTCCCTTGTGATCCACCAGAGCTTGCAGCACTATCGAAAAGTACCCCTTGCAGTGTATGTACTCGGCGGCTTGGTGCTCCGGTGCCAAGATAGGGATATGGGTTCCGTCTATAGCCCCACCACAGTTAGGGAATCCCATTGCAGCAAAGCCATCCACTATGACCTGCACATTTCCCAGGGTCACTACCCTTGATATCAGCAGATCTTTGATTGCATGGGCTACTTGCATCACAGCAGCCCCCACAGTAGATTTGCCCACTCCAAATTGATTCCCAACTGACCGGTAGCTGTCTGGCGTTGCAAGCTTCCACAGGGCTATCGCCACTCGCTTCTCAACTGTGAGGGCTGCTCTCATCTTGGTATTCATGCGCCTCAGGGCAGGGGAAAGCAAGTCACAAAGTTCCATGAAAGTTCCACAGCATGAACCTGCCCCATTAGCACCATGATGCATGCATTGGCAGGGCCCATGCTTTCAGAGAAATCTGTGTCCATGTCCTGATCACTCACGTGACCGCGCTGACGTCGCCTCCTCGCCCGGTATCGCTTTGCCAGGTTCTGGTGCTGCATATACTGCTGGATAATGCGTGTGGTGTTTAATGTGCTCCTAATTGCCAAAGTGAGCTGAGCGGCCTCCATGCTTGCCTTGGTATGGCGTCCGCACAGAAAAAAGGCGCGGAACGATTGTCTGCCGTTGCTCTGACGGAGGGAGGGGCGACTGACGACACGGCTTACAGGGTTGGCTTCAGGGAGCTAAAATCAACAAAGGGGGTGTCTTTACATCAAGGAGTATTTCAGGCAGGACTTCACGGAGGGTTCCAATAAGAAATGGTGCACCTAAGTTATTGTCCTTATTGGAACAAGGAGGTTAGCCTGGCCTCTGATTGATACATGGCTAGATTTACCTCGCTGCACCTTCTCTGTGAGTGACTGCAGTGTGACCTAGAGGAATGAGTCCCCTAGACAGGGGAGGAGGCAAATGAGTACAAAACAAATCTGGTCTATTTCTTGTTTTGACCCACTCCATCTATCTTTTACATCTTTGGCTGGCAGCAGATGGTGCAGAAGGACTGCATGCCATCCACATCTCATGGCTGCTCGGCAGAAGATGGTACAGTACGACTGCTAGCCATCCTCATCTCTTGCCTGCCTGGCAGAAGATGGTACAATACGACTACTAGCAATCCTCATCTCTTGCCTGCCTGGCAGAAGATGGTACAGTACGACTGCTAGCAGTCCGTATCGCCTGCCCGCTCACCATAAGACGGTTCAATAGGACTGACTGCAGGACTAAAGAGAATGACCTGGTCAAGTCACTCCAAATTTAGTCCCTGCGCCCATGTCTGCCCAGGCGCTCCCAGCCGACGTGGCCAGGAGCACCTCGGACATGACGATGACGGCTACCAGTCGTACTGTACCGTCTGCTGCCACAAGGCAAGGGGTTGCTGCTACTGTGTAGCAATGCCGTACCGCGTCTGCCAGCACCCAGGAGACATAGGGTGACGGTTACCTGAGCGGGCTCCATGCTTGCCGTGGTATGGCGTCTGCACAGGTAACTCAGGAAAAAAGGCGCGAAACGATTGTCTGCCCTTGCTTTCACGGAGGGAGGGAGGGAACGGGGGGCCTGACGATATGTACCCAGAACCACCCGCGACAATGTTTTAGCCCCATCAGGCATTGGGATCTCAACCCAGAATTCCAATGGGCAGCGGAGACTGCGGGAACTGTGGGATAGCTACCCACAGTGCAACGCTCCGGAAGTCGACTCTAGCCTCGGTACTGTGGAAGCACTCCGCCGAGTTAATGCACTTAATGCACTTAGAGCATTTTCTGTGGGGACACACACACTCGAATATATAAAACCAATTTCTACAAAACCGACTTCTATAAATTCGACCTTATTCCGTAGTGTAGACATACCATAAGACCAGGTAATGCCCGGCCACAGGGAGAAGGAAAGTAGAACCTCTTGGGGTCCCTCGTTTCCCCCAGCCCGTGGGAAGTTAGTGAGATTTCTCTTCACTCCGTCCCGGAGCAGTTCCCAGGGCTCCCACTCAGCACCATCTAGTGGGGACCTGCCTCCTGCGTGTTCCCTGTGTCCCACCACTAATAACTGGACCATTCAACATGACGGACCTCGTGCGCTCCCACCCCCAACAATAGAGGGACTCAAGGGAAACCTTCCCCAACTTGGCTCGCACGCTGGAGCCCTGGGGCACCAGTACTATATCTTGCAGCACAGCACAGCGCTGGCGGCAGCCAGGAAGCCCTTCTCAAGTTATTTTAACAGTCTTCCAAGCCAGATGGGTTTTACCCCAGGGCACAACAGGAAACATGCTCTCCTGAGCTCAGCAAATGCCCGGTGGATATCTGTGTTAGCAGCATCTTCTGAGATGATTACTGATGATTTGTACAGCAGCACTTATGGATTGGGGTAGGTACCGTCCAGTCCTGTAATAACAAACCAATCCCTGTTCTGACAAGCTCCCACGTTTGGTTAATGACAAGATGCAATCAGTGGATAAAAGGATTGAGGGGGAAGAAGGATGAGATGAGCCTGTTCTTGGAGTAAAATCGCCACTAGTCCATACATCCGGCATACAGGAGTGCTACAAAATGGATAAACCCCAGGGCATCATTAAATCTGCTCAAACTAGCTGTTGGTCTTATTCACCCCATTCTACTATACAGGAGCAAAGTCTGGGGTCCAGCATTACTAGCTAGTTACAAGAATTGGGATAAAACCCAAGAGAGACTTGACTTCTGCAATTCAACCAACAGCTATTCCAGGCACACAGGGCCGGTAGCAATAATGGCTGCAGAATAGAAAGGAGTCAATTGCCTCCCCCTAAATTGTGGTGTTTCAACCAAACCAGCCCCCTTCAGCTCGAAGCCATAAAGGATGAAGACCTAAGTCCAGATGATGAGAATACACTCCCATGTGTCATCCCTTCTGGGTTTCAGCAATGCTACTGTCCCCATCTGTGCAGCAAACAACCTCACCCCAACCCACAGGTCTGACCATTTTCAGATCAAGACTGGAGGCTTTTCCAAAAAATAGGGTCTCGTTCAATCCAGAATGATTTGGGGGAAGTTTTATAACCTGTGTCAGACAGGCAGTCTGATCAGATGACGGGCCTTGGAATCTATGAAAATCCTTATCACATGACTCCAGGAGCTGGGGCCTTAAGAAAGACACCAGATATCACAAGACTTGCACTAAAATCACAAACAGTGGCAACACTGTTCCCACCTACCTCAGCACAGCTGTCAAGTTTTGTGCAACTCCACATCCTCCTGCTCCTGACATTGCTTTGGTGCAGGTTGTCTTGACCATTAGCAGACATATAGGGTTAGATGCACATTCGCTCATTACATAATTTGCATAAACTGTTACACCAAGTACTGTGGTCTTTGGCTCTAGCTATGGTAGGAAAGTGTTAACCATGGATTCCCCACCCTGCTGCATCCTCAACGGGGGATGAAAACTATTCAGCTGCTAAGGTAGATAGAGCTAAACTGTTTCATCACCCATTCCTGAGGGTACAGCTCTGCCACCGGTAGGTACCATGTTGTCAGCCATGGGTCATTTCCTAGTGTAGACAGGGAGGTAGGCATGGAAAGCGGGGCCATGTGGGACAGTTTTGCAAATGTGCAATTTGTTTTTCTAAGTCTGGTGTCCCAGTGTTCAGCTGTTCTTAATATGCCCAACCTCCTTTGCTGTGTCAATGGAGTTCATGAGCAGGGGGAAGTAGTGAGATCTGTAAAAAACTGATGAATGAGATTTTAAATGTCTCATGGAATCAAGTCTCGGAATGTTTCTCGGGTAAGAAGCTTATGCATTAAGTAGATGATGTAGCTCCTTGTTGCAATGAGGATTGTGTTGAGTGTGACGTTTGGTTTTGGTTCTTTAAAGGGACCTAGGCCCCAATCCTGCAAACACTTAAGTGTGCGAATAACTTTACTCCCATGAGTAGACCCATTGGAGTGTTTGCAGGACCTGGCCCAATATTCCATCTGGATTAGGCCCGATGTTGCATAATAATTATTTTTAAAAGGTCTGAGAAAGCCTCATGTTAATGGACATGCATTCATGAATTTTTATTTTTCAATCAAAATTAGATTTAGGTGAAAAAAAGCATTGATACCTCTTGTAATTTTATTTAAAGTCCCAGGTCCTGGCGTCAGGTGATTACCTGAGCAACTCTGCTTTCATTTTAAAAAGAAAGGGGGGTTCTAGCCTTCGCGATTATGGGCAAAAGCTTGCAAATGTGACCTGAGTGCCCCATGAAAGCTCAAAACACCAGCAAATAAAAAAAAACATACAAATGTGTTGTTTTAAAAATAAATCTTATTTTTTTCAATCAATCACATGGCTGTTTTTGCTGGACTCCTGATTTTTCAATGTTTTGGGTTAGCACTATTGCTAATCTTTCCCCCAGAGATTGCAACAATGTAGGAGGCCAGGGGAATCTGAAAGTGAAACTACAGTGAAACTAGCAAATAGTTAAGTTGGCAGAGTTCTGTGGGGAAAAACTAAAGGTTCTTACATGATGAAAGAAAAATTAGATTTGAAAAATCCTTTCATTTGGCAGTAATTGACAACGTTATTCACAGAAGTAAGGACATTTTGCAAGAGTATTTTTAGGCTAGCCCTGCCATGCTAAAATTGGGACTGTAACTTTGTAAGATTTTAGGCCCCAATCCTACAGTTGGATGTGCATGGAGGGAATCTTGCAGCTGCATGGAGCCCTGTTGAAATCAATGGAGGCCCACAAGAAGTGCAGGGGTCTATGGGGAGAAATCTGATTGCAGGATTGGGGCCTGGTTTGGTTTGCATCATCTGTTTAACGCTTCATGTGCTGATTGTTGTTATCATGCGTGTATGTGCAGGGCCCAGTGCACATCAGTCAGGTGTAAGAGCAATTCAGATGTCATTTATTTTTCCATCTTGCTTTTCATTATAGAAAAAAAGTTTTAATAAACTGTGCTTTGTTTCCAAAAACTAAAGCCTGCCTTAAAGCTGAGCAAGGCTGGAGTGGGACTTGTCAGGTTGGATTTATTTTTGCCCAGATGTGTGAGCAGAAAAGTTTCTGGGGTGACAGCAAAAAAAGCTCTTGGGGGGGAGGGAAATGGTAAAGGTGGGGGGGAAGAGGTGGCTGGGTTTGGGCTTGCAAAACCAGCAGCAGTCTGGAACCAGGGCTTTTTTTATTGGACCCACAGAAGCTCGGTGGGGGTTCAGGGAAAATGCGCCAGTTTATGGGCCCATCTCTAGCTTTTAATGCAAGCACACATGCTTTTTTGGTGCTGTCCATAGTGTAGAACAGAGCGCGTGGAGAAGAGATGGGGTTAGACTGTAAATGGTGGGGCAAGGACCATCTTTTTGTTCTGGTTGTACAGTGCTGGCACAAGGGGCTGCTGGCCTGTGCCTGGGGATTGTAAGCGCCCCCTGTGGCACTAGAAATAATGAATGCTAATACCTCAGCAGCAGTCCTTGTCAATGGGTTAAAGCCAGGGCGTGAGTCTCCTTAGACTGGTTCCAGTGGCAGTACCCGGGCTTTATACTGGGTGAGAGCAAAGCAAGCCCGGCTCCGTCTTGCAGCACTGATGGAACTGGGTCCTTGAGCTGAGCCATCCCCTTGGACTTTGGAGTGTAAGGAAAAGGCTGCACCCTAAGTCCTGAGCATCCTGGGGGGCAGGGTTTGGGGTGCAAGGGTCCGAGCTTGCAGGGGCGTCATGGCAGCTTGTGGGGTGCAAGGGCCCGATCCTGCAGGTGCCCCACGCTTGGGCGCGCAGGGGTCCGGCCCCAAGTTTTGCCGGTCCCCGGGGGGGGGGGGGAAGGGCAGTGCCTGCCCCTCTCCCTGCTGCCCCCGGCGAGAGGCGGCTGCCTGCGGGCTGTCCTAGCGCGGGGCAGGGGCTGCTGCGGGATTGGCCGGGCGGGCGGGCGGACTCAGGCTGCGCCCAGCCCCAGTGCCGCGGAGCGCAGAGCCGGGGAGGAGCAGGCGGCGGCGGCCGGAGCTGGGGGCAGCGCGGAGGTAGGGCCCGGGCCCGGGCGGCCGGGACGGGGCAGCGGCCGGGGCAGCCTCCCCCGCTCCCCGCATGTTTACTTGGGGCTGGGCAGCCGGGCTGGAGCCGGGGCCGCGTGGGGGGCCTGGCACTGCTCCCCCAGCCGGGCACGGCCCCGCTCCGAGCGCCCCGTGCTCCTCGAGCCGGGCTGCCCCCAGACTCCTGCCCGACCCCTGAGACCTGCACTTACCCCTGCTCCGAGCGTGCTCCTGCCTCCCCCACGTACCCCGGCTTCTCCCGGGACCCCCTCCCCACCCCACCCCTAGAGACCTGCACTTCCCCCCAGGCCATGCATGCGTCTACCTCCTACCCCCATGCACCCCCGAGACCTGCAATTACCCTAACTCCCCACCCTCCCTGCACCCCTTCTTACCCCGACCTTCACCCCCCCCACATCCTCATACTCCCCATGCTGGCTACCCCTGCACCCCACTGACCCCTAACCCCCCACTCTAGACACCCTCCTACCCCCACGTACCCCACCCACCCCTCTTACTCCTAGCCAGTCTATACTGCCCCCACCCTAACCCTTACCCCCATGGACCCCTAACATCCATACCCCCCACTTCCCCCAACCCCTGCCTCATACGCATACCTGCTTCCACCCCCCTCCCTCATTCCCACTCACCCCGACACCCCACTGTAGTCCCCACAGCACCAACGTAACCCAGACCCCCTGGTTTACCTTCCTTTCACCTCCGCTAACCCCAGTGGCCTACTCCTACCCTTATCCTCGTCTACAGAAAGGGATCCTGAGGCAGAGAGCCTAAGTGGCTTGCCATAGTGTCACAGTGGGACAGCTGTGAATAGAACCCAGGAGTCCTGACAGTAGGTCCAGAACATGTTCCCTTGCAATCTGCCATCCCATTTTGCTCATCCCCGTCTCCTAGGGTTGCCACCTGATCACGGGGCAAAGTCTTTATGCTGTGGCATTGGGAGCTGCCCTCTCTTCCTTTTGTGTTGGCACACGGGGGAATAACATAATGCGTGGTCAGAATAAAGATCCACTGGTCCCAGGAGGCTTGCAGGACATGGGACATGCCCGTGAGAATGGGAATGGGCAGCCACTCTCCCCCTTGTTGCCATGTGGGGGTCTGGAGGGGATCACATGGCGTCCAAGGCTTTTAACTTAGCTGCGTTCCTCTGCAGTGTGGGGCATAGGTCACTCGCAGGTTTAAGCTAGTGTGAATGGTGGATTGTCTGTCACTTAAAGTCTTTAAATCATGATTTGAGGACGTCAGTATCTCAGCCAGAGGTTAGGGGTCTGTTACAGGAGTGGGTGGGTGAGGTTCTGTGGCCTGCAGTGTTCAGGAGGCAGGGGTGAAAGGACTTACCGGTACTCCGGAGTCCTGGGGGAGGGAGCGGTGGGGCTCTAGCAGCGGGGCTCGGGTGGCACTTTAAAGGGCCCAGGGCTCCAGCCACTGCAGGGAGCCCCGGGCCCTTTAAAATGCCAGCCTGGGGAAGCCGGTCCGGTCTGGTCTGGCACAGTGTATTGGCTCTTGCCGGTATGCTGGACTGGACCGGCTTACTTTCACCTCTGGCAGGAGGTCGCTAGAGGATCATGATGGTCCCTTCTGGCCTTAAAGTCTATGAGTTGTTGGGCCAAGCTGGCTGTGGAATGACTGACCCCTCAGTTCTGGGTGGACACCTCACCAGTCCCACAAGCAGCTCTAGCATCCTCTGGTCCCTAGCGCTAACTGCCTCCCGCCACAGATAACATGGCAGCTCCTTCTGGGCACGGTGGCACAACGCTGCATTCCAAAGTTCCCAGGGTCCTTGCTGTCGTGAGGAACGATCCCGGATGGGGATTCTGGCTGCTTCCCGCCTGTTGGTGGCTCTGTGTCTAACGCTGGAGAATCCATCGCGATGTTTCCCGCAAGTTAAGCTGGTGATGGCAGGCAGAGCTTCAGGAGGGACATGCCTGGGTGCGGACTTGGTGCTGTGAAACGAATCCTGACAGGGGAAGCTTTGAAAGCTTGAGCCAACGCTCCCCTTACAGGTCTAGATTCAGCCCTGCTGCATACAGCTGCTTCACTGGAGATGGTGGAGTCATGCCAGGGGGAAATTTGGCCGGTACATTGATGACAAAGTCTATTCACAGCTGTTCAGGATGGCGATTTTATTCCTTTCCCCTGTGCATCCTCTCTCCTTCCTCACAGGGCCCTGATACCCCGGCAGATGGACGTCATGCTGCCTGAGGGAGACCCTAAAAGGACAGGGGAGAAGGTCAGAAGCCAGGAGCCCGGAGAGCATCCTTCAGTCACGCTCTTCCGAGAGTACCTGAGACTCAAGACAGTCCAGCCCGAGCCCAACTATGGTAAGGAGGCTGGTTCCCTTTTTTTTTTTAACCAGGGCAAGCCGCTGACGCAGCATGAGCACTGGGGGAGGGTTATGCCGCCAGTCGGCAAGGGAGATGGCCAGGCAACTGGCTCGCTGCTGCGACGGCTGGTGGCAACGTTCTTACCTCGCATGCTGGGCAGAAAGCTCTCGGCACCCTTCTGGAGCATTGCTGGGCTTTTGCTCCCAGCACTCTCCTGTAGGAGACGGGACAGGGGTGCCGCCCTGTATGATCTGCAGAGGAATCCGTGATCGTCTGGTAGAACCACTTAGTTCTTAAAACTGTCCCCTCCCTGCAAAGACACCCGCTCGTGGGTGGAAGTGAGTCGGTGGGTGTGAATCCAGAGGAGTCCATGTCACCCAAACCACCCCCATCATTGGCTGTGCTTGGCCTCCTCGCAACTGGCCAAAGGTGGAGCGGGCCACGGGGGCTGAAGTGTCCTGCCCCGCCAGCTCAAAGCCGGGCTCAGTGCAATGTGGGGGAAGCTAGATAGCATTGCTGCTGCCTGCGCTGGTTCCGCCTGATGCAGAGCCTGAGACCTCCATCGCTGACAGCAAATGAATGCTGAAAATATTGAGTGTTGTTGGAGGGGGCAAAAACCCACTTCATCAAAGACCCAAAAATACCAGCCAGATGTGCAACCTTAAAAAGAAGACAGCAGTCAAAATGGAGTGGGGCGGGGCAGTTCGCAATGAAATGGTATGCCAATCTCTCCGACACTGGTCGGAAAGTTCCCTGAACCTTGGCAAATGAGCCGCTCCTCGGGGGCAGAAGGAGCCCTAGCAAGACTTGCTAGTGATTGTGCAACCCAGCCAAGAGGCTGATCTGGTCTCACAGCTCATGCTGGCCTCTAGAATGGGAAAATCCCTGGTAATGTGAGATGGGGACTGAAATTCCAGGCTGTGGAACAGCCTTCCTGGCAGCCGCCTTCCTTGAACAGCGCTTTCTGCTGCCCCTGGGATTTGGGAACCTCCTTGCAGGAGCTGCCTCCACCACCTGTTTCACCCACGGCTGGGATGATGCTTAGATTGATTCTCCACTGCATCATACCTTGTCATTCACGCCTGGGCAAAGTGGGTGGAAAATGCCACCAGATCAGACCCCTCCACTCACTCACTCACACCGGTCTGTCTGCCTAAGAGGCATGTGGCTGCTCTTTGGACTGAGCTGCTGCACAAAGCCCACATTTCGGAGCTCTCTTCCACATGGGGCCACATCTCCTTGTTGTTCTGAACATTAATCAATCACAGAGCAGATGGATTTTGACCCTTGGCTCACGGCAGCAGTGTCTGCCCAGTCCGTGAGCCAACAGAGTTAAGACAGATGATCTGTTTATAATGTGTCTTCCCCCTGTTGGAGTTGGCCAGCCAAACCTGGTTGAAGCTATTTTAGCTGGTGCTGTATTAATCCTCGTCTTGGATGGACTGGGAGCTTCAGTTTCATATTGAGTGAAATACAGTTCTCATTAAACCAGCATGTAACATGGCTGTGGGTTAGTAACTGTTTGTGTGCGCATGCATTGTCAGAAGAGATGTCTTCCAAGGGTCTGATCCAAAGCCCATTGAAGTATTATTTACCTCTTCTCATAATACAAAAATTAGGGGTCACCAAATGAAATTAACAGGCAGCAGGTTTGAAACAAACAAAAGGAAGTATTTCTTCACAATATCCACAGCCAACCTGTGGAACTCTTTGCCAGAGGATGCTGGGAAGGCCAGGACTATAACAGGGTTAAAAAAAGAACTAGATAAATTCATAACAGATAGGTGCATTAATGGCTGTTAGCCAGGATGGGCACGGATGGTGTCTAGAGCCTCTGTTTGCCAGAAGCTGGGAATGGGTGACAGGGGATGGATCACTTGATGATTGCCTGTTCTGTTCACTCCCTCTGAAGCATCTGGCATTGGCCACTGTCAGAAGACAGGATACTGGGCTAGATGGAATCATAGAATATCAGGGTTGGAAGGGACCTCAGGAGGTCATCTAGTCCAACCCCCCTGCTCAAAGCAGGACCAACCCCAACTAAATCATCCCAGCCAGGGCTTTGTCAAGCCGAGCCTTAAAAACCTCTAAGGATGAGGATTCCACCACCTCCCTAGGTAACCCATTCCAGTGTTTCACCACCCTCCTGTTGAAATAGTGTTTCCTAATATCCAACCTAAACCTCCCCCACTGCAACTTGAGACCATTGCTCCTTGTTCTATCATCTGCCACCACTGAGAACAGCCGAGCTCCATCCTCTTTGGAACCCCACTCAGGTAATTGAAGGCTGCTGTCAAAGCCTCCCTCACTCTTCTCTTCTGCAGACTAAATAACCCCAGTTCCCTCAGTCCCTCCTCATAAGTCATGTGCCCTAGCCGCCTAATCATTTTCGTTGCCCTCCGCTGGACTCTCTCCAATTTGTTCACATCCTTTCTGTAGTGGGGGGACCAAAACTGGACGCAGTACTCCAGATGTGGCCTCACCAGTGCCGAATAAAGGGGAATAATCACTTCCCTCGATCTGCTGGCAGTGCTCCTACTAAAACAGCGTGTAGAGAGGTTAGCCGGGGCTCGTCTCTCTCCGGGGCGGCAGGGAACCACACCGCCTCACTAAACTTGGGAAGATGTCTTGTGGGGAATTAGTTTGGCCGTGGGAGTCTTCCTCTGCGGCCTTTGTGAGGGCAGAAATAAACATAGTGAGCCCAGGTCCTAGGTCATGGCGGGGCAACGTTGAGTCAGATGCTCAGGCCCTCAGGCAGGGGCTGAGCAGCAACAGCACGTAAACAGTGAGCCCAGGCCTTTGGTCCAAAGGGCCTGGGAGAGGGGGAGACTGCCACCTGCGAGTTGGGTGGCAGGGGGTACACAGGTCCTCCTACTCCACTGCGTCCCAGCCTGGGGCCCTAGCGGCAGCAGAGGACCCGCTGCTGCGTCAGTGTGGATCCTGGCCGCCACTCACTGACATGGGTTCTGGCAGTGCTGCAGCCAGACTAGGGTCGGCTGCCCCCGGGCTACTTCCCGACTCCCCCTCTTGAGGTACCTGGGTCAGGGTGGTGTCCTCAGGGGGGTCCAGCATCATGGGTTCCTCGGGATAGCTGGCAAGGGGTAGACTCGGCAACTCCTGGTAGGTGGCGTGGTGCAGGCTTGGCAACTCCCAGTCTGGGTAGCTGCTGCGGGGCAGGTCGGGCCAGTCCTCGGGCGTACCACAGGCCACTGGGGTTTCCCAATCACAAGGTAGGCCGGAGGCATTGGGCCTCCCCGGCCGCTGCTCTCTTAGTGAGCTCTGAGGTCAGGCCTTTATACTGCCGGGGCAATGTCTGACCTTCTGGGGGGCGGGCTCAGAGCTCCCTGGCTCCGCCCACTCTGGTGTCCAGTCTCTCTCCGGGGTGGTGGGGAACCACACCGCCTCACTACAAGCCCGATATGCCATTGGTCTTCTTGGTAACAAGGGCACACTACTGACTCATATCCAGCTTCTCATCCACTCGAATCCCCAGGTCCTTTTCTGCAGAACTGCTGGCTAGCCAGTCAGTCCCCAGCCTGTAGCGGTATATGGGATTCTTCCTTCCTAAGTGCAGGACTCTGCACTTGTCCTTGTTGAACCTCATCAGATTTCTTTTGGCCCAATCCTCCAATTTGTCTAGGTCACTCTGGACCCTATCCCTACCCTCCAGCTTATCCCCCCCCCCCCCCCCAGTTTCGTGTCATCTGCGAACTTGCTGAGGGTGCAAGTAATCCCATCATCCAGATCATTAATAACGATGTTGAACAAAACCGACCCCTGGGGCACTCCGCTTGATACTGGCTGCCAACTAGACATAGAGCCATTGATCACTGCCCGTTGAGCCTGACAATCTAGCCAGCTTTCTATTCACCTTATAGTTCATTCATCTAATCCATACTTCTTTACTGTGGGAGACCGTATTAAAAGCTTTGCTAATGTCAAGATGGACCTTTGGTTTGACCCAGTATAGCCGTTCTTATGTTCTTAAGTAGATGGAAAGACTCCCGTTGACTTCAGTGGTTATTGGATCAGACTCTTAGTCAAAAAGCCAAACTGGGAGCTGATGTAAGGTTCCCAGTTCAGTTTCTTTACTGAGAAGATATAAAATGGCTCGTCCCAGTACAGCTGGATGGAAAGAGAAAACTGGCAGCTCCTTCCACCAATCCAAATTAGCCTCTTTCTGGCTATTTTCAATTCACTTGTAATTAACTGCCCCGCATTCCGGATACACGCACGCTCAGTTGGGAATATTAAATAGCTCCTAATTAGGGGACAAATCCTGCAGTCGTTACTGATGCAAAAGGCCTATTGACTCAGTGGGCGTTTTCCCTGAGTAAGGACAGAAGGGCTTAACACCCAGATCCACAAAGGTACTGAACTATAGGCCAGGTCAACACTAAAAAGTTGGGTCAACCCAGCTCTGTTGCTCATGGGTGTGAAAAATCCACACCCCTGAGCAACGGTTAAGCCAACCTAAACCCCAGTTTTCAGAGTAACAGCCGTGTTAGTCTGTATTCGCAAAAAGAAAAGGAGTACTTGTGGCACCTTAGAGACTAACCAATTTATTTGAGCATAAGCTTTCGTGAGCTACAGCTCACTTCATCGGATGCATACTGTGGAAAGTGTAGAAGATCTTTTTATATACACACAAAGCATGAAAAAATACCTCCCCCCACCCCACTCTCCTGCTGGTAATATCTAAAGTGATCACTCTCTTTACAATGTGTATGATAATCAAGTTGGGCCATTTCCAGCACAAATCCAGGTTTTCTCCGCCCCCCACACAAACCCACTCTCCTGTTGGTAATAGCTTATCTAAAGTGATCACTCTCCTTACAATGTGTATGATAATCAAGGTGGGCCATTTCCAGCATAGACAGCGCTGGGTTGATGGGAAAATTCTGTTGACTTTGCGGCCGTGTCTCAGGGGAGGCAGAGTAACTACAGCGATGGGCGAGCCCCTCCCCTTGTTGTACTGAGTGTCTAGTGAAGACTCATGCCTGATCTGCGCTAGAAAATCAGGTTGGCTTAACTACGCCATGCAGGGTGTGTAGTTTATCTGACCCGGAATGGTGTTGTTTACCCCATTGTAGCCATTGCTAGGTCCACGGAAGAATGCTTCTGTTGACTTCCCTATCGCCTCCTGGGGAAGTGGATTACCTATGCTGATGGGAAAACCACTCCCGTTAGCGCAGGTAGTGGCAGCTGAAGGAGCAGAGGGGGCATATGGGGCAAAGGGGAGAAGCAGAAGGGATTACGGGCCTGAGAACCTGGGGAGATAAAGTCTATTAAATGTGTTCAATGTCTCTTTAATGCCTTTGCTCTGTTATTTGTAGCTCCTCTTCCCAACTGCTTTCCATGTGACAGATTATGGTTGTTCATTTTTTTGTGTTGCGGTAGCACCTAAGGCCCCAGCCAGGGATCAGGAACTTGTTGTGCTAGGTGTTGTACAGAGTGGAAAGCTGAGGCTTGCCCTGCTATGTGGCAGATCTCTTAGCCGTGACAGAGGCTGCATGCGTAGATTGTTGATGGTAGGCCTGCTAATACATCCATTCTTGGGGCTTAGTGCTGCAATCATGTTCCGTTACTGACAGCACTTTGCTGGGAGTTGTGTGCTTGGCTGTATAGACCGTGCACCTGCCTGTCGACCGCATAGGCTGCGTGCCACAGTATTCACCAGGATGGAGCCTAGGCATGACAGCCTTTTTGCAGTCTGCGCTTCTGATGTTCTTGCAGCATTGCTGCTCCAAAGGGTTCCCCCTTGTGGAAAGGGGCCTTTGGAGATGGGACGGGAGGGGCTAGGGTGTGCAGACATCCCCTTCCTAGTGCAGGATGAGGATTCCCGGATGGGAGAGATACAACAGGTGCAAGGAAACAGCAAGGGGATTCCAGCTGAATGTCTGTAACTTTCCTGCTTTCTCCCTCTCTCAGATGTGGCCGTGCGGTTCCTGGAGCGGATTGCAGCCGAGCTTGGCCTGGGGTGTCAGAAAGTGGAGGTAGGAAAAGTGAACCCACCCGCTCCTCTGCCCCCGCGTTGAAATTAATTCCTGATCTGTCCGAGCCTGAAACCACCAGGGGATGTCTGGGGTGTCCCCCGCTTGGCCTCTTCTGTACAGCACAGCTCCAGTCACGGCGCTGTCGTCAGCGCTGCCAGGTGGCAGATGTTTCCGCACCAAGTCCCACCTCGGAGATGCTCCCCTTTACCATGCGTCTGGGCTCGTTCACCTCAACCAGCTCTTTTGTATCTGCTTTTGCCGCTGTAACTCATGACTTAGAAATGTAACGCTTCCCGTTTGCTGGTGAGCTGTCTTCCTGCCAGAGAGGTCTGGGTTGCTCAACAGAGGAGGTGGAAAAAGTGAATGTACTCAATGATCGTTTTGCCTCTGTCTTCACGAACCAGGTCAGCTCCCAGACTGCTGCACTGGGCAGCACAGCATGGGGAGGAGGTGACCAGCCCTCTGTGGAGAAAGAAGTGGTTCAGGACTATTTAGAAAAACTGGACGAGCACAAGTCCATGGGGCCAGATGCGTTGCATCCGAGAGTGCTTTTTTTTTTTTGAAACAGAAAGAAAGTTTATTGTTAACGCTTACAAAATTACCAAAGGAAACAAAACAACTATGCAACAAAACAACGCAATCAGAAGGTATAACACAGCAGCTTTCAGGAGGGAGAAGTGTTCAGGCTAGCCTGGGCCCAGAGCGGGGGGCTTCCTTGACACTCGTGGTCTTCCACCCCCTCGAGTTACCCAGTGCCGCGCCCAGTGTCACCGATCCTCCCTCTCCTGAGAGTGCCCGGTAAGATGGGCACGGCTGCGGGGTGGGCGGTTTAGGGGGGGGGTAGACACCCATGTATTATAGGACCCCTCCTAGATGACAGGAATGATGGTATCCACAGTGGCAACGGCTGGGGCTGGCGTCTCTCGCTCTTCCCCTCAATCAAAGGGTAGACGGAGGGAACCGGACGGGGTCACCGAGCGCTACAGATGCGCTACATCTGAGTGGACTGAGTGGATAGTTCAGCCATTCCCATCTAAAAAGAATTGGTGGGTCTCAGCCCAGTTCTCAGAGGACGTGTCCTCATCACCAAATTCAGCTTTGCAACGAGCACTCTTTGGTACCCCTGTGGGCGCTGCCAGAGTGGACGTCCCTTTCCCTTGGTGGTCCTTCCAGATCCAGGCTGAAGGCCATTGGCAGTAGCATGGAGCTGGCCTGCACTGCTTGTGCCAGACTCATTCTTTGGGTAACCAGAGGACTCCTGTCTGAAGATTCCGGTCTTTCAGTAGCAATCAATCCCCGTAAAAACGGCTAGAGCGACCTGAGCATGTTGCACAAGAATCCATCCCACCTGCACCCATGGAAGAGCCACCCTGGTCATTAGCATTCTCCTGCGTGGAGCGAATACATGGGTCGCCACCAGGAGCTAAACCTCACCCTTGTTGGGTAGAGCGAAGCGTAGATCCATCCTAGACACACCGGGGCAGAGTCTGACCTCAGTTACCCCAGTGCAAGTCTGGGAGATGGTGGAGTTGCTCTATATTTCCACCGGTGAGACAGCAGTTGGCCCTTTATCTTCTCCGTGGTGCACTCGATGTCCTTCGTCCCAACCTGCACTGGCCGGTCTAGATATAGAACAGGATCGATATTAATAATTAGGTCGGTGAGTCCTCCTGCCAGCACGCCCTCTGGCCCCTACTTCAGAGACTCGCTGTGCTGCATTACATTGGCACATACCCATAGGACTGAGAACAGGAGCCCTCCCATGCATGACACTCTCGCTGGCTCTAGGGGGAGTTCTGGGCAAGGAGAGGCTACCCTCTCAGACCCTTGATCCATGATCCTTCCATTGGGAGTCCAGGACGGGCCAGGGTGCTGTTTGTTTGCTACCCCCCCAGTTCATAGCAGGAGAGACCCTGCAAAACGTGACAGTGCGAGCGGTTGTTTGCCATTGGTGTACGAATCCCTGGCGGTCGGTAATCCCCTGCAGATTTGGCCAGACTGTTAATCTGCTATTACAGGTTCTCGGTCTATTTTTGAGTCGATCCATCCCGGCTGTATGTGCTGTAATTAGACTGGGACTTAGCAAGGTCACATTCCTCCGAGGAGGCCTGGGGTGACACGACTTTCCCTGAGACTTGTCCTGGCTCATGGGTGCGTGAATCCCGACCGGCAGAAACTTGGGCTAGGGAAAATGTGGGGAAGTTCCCTGAAGACGGGATCTCAGTTGTGTGCGTGTTGCCTGGATCCCCTGAGCTATTTGGAAATGCAGGGCGTGCACGCATTTCAGTAGTTTCAGTGATTGCTGAGCCCATATTCTTTCAAGGCCTCCTGCCACTGGCATTTGCTTTTGCCCTCATCAGCTGTGTCTAGTGTCCCCTGGGGTGGCCCTTGGGGTGGGAAAGATCAGTGTTTAAGTCCCTTGCTTGGGGGATTGGATGGTTCCGGGGGTACGGAGCTTTCCCTGCTCGTTCACCAGCTCCTGCGGTAACACCCCGCCCTTCTCTAGAGCTTCTTATTCCAGGCACAGCAATCCAGGGTGTTCACTCTTCAGTGAAATGAAATGGGGGGTTTTGGTAGTTCCTAGTGGACCAAGAACCCAGGGGCTCCTTGCTTTTGGGTCACCCTTTTGGGGTTCAGTTTATCTGTAGCTTCTGGCGTCCTTGCTCAGGGTGAGGGTTTGCCTCCAGCCTTGGCTTTATGCCTGGACCATGCAGTCTCAGGAGTGGCTGGGTCTGCAACTGTCTTCCTCTGTGCTGACCTGTCCCCATAGCCTTTCCCTTAGTCCCCCTCCAGGCAGAGCAATCCGTACAGGTGTCTGGTTAGTGCTGGCTGAGCACTAGCTAGATACACCTGTAACCTCCTCTCTGCTCCCCCCCTCACACCATCCCAGCCCCGGGTTTGCCTCCCTGACCATGAGTCCCACACGCTGACCCTGCCCTGTGGGAAGAAGTGTTTCTTTTTGATTGGCTGCCTGTTTATCAGTCTTTAATTGAGTGACTCCTCTGTGTTCTCTCGGCCCCGGGCAGCACGGAAAAGCGGAAGAAATCCCCTTCCAGATCTTCACACTCCCAGGCGCATCATTTGGATATGGCTTGGGAGCCCTCCATAGTTGAGGCGTCCTTATGGGAGGAGGTCGTGTTCTGCCTGGGATCTCTCGATCCAGTTGCTCGGAGGGCCCCATCGCTATCCAAGTGCTTTGCAGTTACTGATGGATTTATTCCTTGCATCACCCCTGTGAGGCAGGGAGTTGTAATCCCAGTAGTACAGATGGGGAGCTGAGGCACTGGGGAGATGCAGTGACTTGACCAAGATCGCTCAGGGAGTCTGTGGCAGAGCTGGGAATTGAGCCCAGGTCTCCTGGTTCCCAGTCCAGTGCCCTGTCTGTGAGACCCTCCTTCCTGCCCTCCTAGAAGGGAGAGGAGTCTCTTGTCCTTTGAAATCTGCTCCCTCCCAGGTGAAACAACCCCTCCCTTTGCAACCACATGTTATATGCGAACCCCGCTGCTCCTCCTCATCCTCCCCACCCAGGGGCTGCTCCGTCATCTCTTTCTATCTGCCCGGTTTCCCGGACCCACAGCAGAGCGGAGCATGCCCTTCTGCTGTAACAGACTCCCTCTTGCTTCGCAGGTGTGCCCGGGCCGGGTTGTCACCATTATGACCTGGCAGGGCACGGACCCGCAGCTCCGCTCCATCCTGCTGAACTCACACACGGATGTCGTGCCGGTATTTGAGGTGAGGGATTATGGGGAGGGGAGCTTACAGCTGGGATTTGGCTGCTGCCCATGGGCGGGCAGGGGGCAGTTATTTGCCCAGAAGGGAAGTGGGAGTATCCCTCTTCAGAGTGTTTCTCAGCAGCTCAGGAGGATGCCCAGGGGCACCGCTGGGCCGCAGGGAAACCTGGACCATCTCTGCTGAGGACCTGCTGCGGGTCAGTGCCATCTGCACCCTTTGGTAATGCAAACACAGCGCCACCTGCAGTAGAATGTGGGGAACTGCGAGCCTTTGTCCAGATTGCTGTTGCAGGTGGTGGGGTCTGTCCAGGGAAAATACCTTCCGCTTCCATTTGGGGCTTCCCCTTACCTCACCCATGCTGTGTGCTGATTTTCAAGCTGAGAGGCTGGTTTGATCCAAGGCCCCGTTTAGCTCTTGGCCTCTGTGCTGCGATGGCAAAAGACGCCCATTGGGATAGTGCTGCCTTCAGAGCCTGTCACCTTATTCTTTTAAAATTCTCTCCATTGTGCACGGGACTCCCTTGTTTGCTTCTTGAACTGCGGCTATGAAGTTCTGATGCTTGCCCCTTGATCAGATAGATCCCTGGCGTGTCCGGCTGCACCCTCCCGGAGGGGTCTCTGGCACTCACCATGCACCACCACAAACTTCAGTTGCTACCATCTGGTATTTTGGGGTTTAGCGACTATGAAGTCCCATTTTCTGATGGGCTGCATTAGGCTCTCACTGCACTCGATTGGACGTGCACCTGCTCTTTGTCATGTGTGTGCTGGAGTCCAGTTTGCCCTGAGAAGCCCCACTGCAGGAGGCCCCGCTACTGAGTTGAAATTGCCCAGGACATTTCCCGTTAACAGTCTTGCATGAATGGGGGTTGGTATTGTCCATTATTGCTTTCCTGTCCCTTCAGATCTGGGTAGAGGTTTGTTGACAGCAGTGCATTGGAGAAGCCTGTCTTGCCCTTCAGTCTCCAGCACTGTCAGGCTGGCATTAAATCGCACTCCCATCCCTTTTGCCCCTACCTCCACCCCCAATCTACCTCCTAATGGCTGAGGTGCCACCTACCACATAAGCCCTGTCTGCTGCTTCATCCCTTCATCCAGGCCTCTCTCCATCTCCCGAACAGGGTTCTGTCCCTTTCTTTTATGGGGATGGGGATTAGGTGGGGTGGGAGGGAGATCAGCTTCCTGTCCTGCCCCTCTCCTCCATGGAAAAGTCAGGGTGCCATGCTGGGAGCCAGCCGGACTGTGCTTGTGCCCTCCAGCCGTGCTTGCTCCCCATAGGGAGCCCTCCTGTGACACTCAGCGCTGGTTTCTTCCTTGCAGGAGCACTGGACCCACGATCCTTTCGAAGCCTTTAAGGACTCTCAGGGTAACATCTACGCCCGCGGGGCCCAGGATATGAAGTGTGTCTCCATCCAGTGAGTGCAGCTGGCCTCCTCCATTCTTTGTCTTGTCTTAGTTTGCCATTGCCTCTCTGGGGCAATCAAATGGAGCTGAACGTCCCCCTCTGCACACAGCTCCGTCCCTCTTGACTCATGCTTGCTATGAACCAGCAGGCCAGATCCTGATCTTGGTTACACTGGCATAAATCTGGAGGATCTCCCCTGAGCTCAGTGTGCAGGTGTTCTGGAATCGTCCCTTGCCGGGCGCCTTGCCCCTGGCTGTGCAGCTGCTGGTCACAGCTGGAAACGGGCCACTGGGCTAGGTAGGCTGGGCCAGTCTGGCAATCCTCGCCAATAGCTGAGTGATGCAATAGACACTGGAGATCCTGAAAGCTCAGCAGATGCCTCTTATCGTGGAGGTCTAGTTATTTATATATTGTCCCAGCTTGTATCTGCCTGGTCATATAACTAGCACAGGGCTGGGGGGCTCTGCTCTCTGCGTTGGCTGGCTGGGGTGGCCAAAGCCCCGTGACACTTGCCCCCCATTCCTGGACACCCAATATGTTACCTGCTCCCCACTAGGCCCCTTGAATCTTTGGCTGACATCAGGGTGTGGGAAAACCAGGGGGTGCTGGTGCCGGCTGGAATCTGGGAGTGCAGCTCTGTCCATGCATCTCACACCTGGCCTGGAGCACTGGCTGAGCTCAAGGTTCTTGCAAGTACCTGGGGCATCCAGCTTCCTGACCAGTCTCTCCCTGTTCAGGTACATCGAGGCCATCCGGAGACTGAAGGCCGAGGGGAAGCGCTTCCCCCGAACGGTTCACATGACATTCGTGCCTGGTAAGTGACTGGCTGCTCTTCGTGGCCAGCTGGTTGCTAGAGTTTGGCTGGAAGGGGTGGGAAGGTGGGGCTAGAGATGGGAGCTGCCCTGCCTCTTCCTTAGCTTAGGAACTCCCCTGACCAGCGTGTTCCTGGGAGTGAAACACTCAGAGAAACCAAGCACATCAAGCCTTGAGTGTGTTTATGGGTGGGCGTAAAGCACGTTGAGCTCCTGGCCTGGAAAGCACCGTCCGGATCCAGGCCCTGACGTGTCCTCCTCGCTCACTGTTCAGCCCTGCTCTGCGAACTTGCTTGCATTTAAGGCAGGCTGGCGTAGGTGACTGCGCCAGGCTCTAGGCTCTCATGGGGAGCTCTGGCAAGGCAGCATGAGAACGCTGGGGAAGGAGGTGGAGAAGAGCATGGAGCTGTTACATGGGGTAGGTTGGAGAGATTGCAGACCCAAGTTCAGTCCCACTGATGCCTGCTGCGTTTGGCCAAAGCACTGATGTTGGCCCTTCCTCCCACGGCTCCAGCATTACCTCCGCCCCGCTTTCTGGACTCTTGCCATGAGCTGAGTAGTTCCCATGAGATGGCAGACAGCTGGGGCCTGGCATCACCATGGAGAAGCGCCGAGGAGGGTGACGCGTGGCTTTAGCAGGAGTTGGAAATGCTAGCATTGGGGAAAACAGCTGCTTTCCCCCGCCTTTCATCAGTCACAAGCTGGCTGCTGTGGGAGTTGGACTGGCCAGAAGCTGCTGTGGGTCCCAGTCTGCCATGGGGTGCTCTGGCTGTGCCACCAGCTGGGGTGAAAGGGAGGGCTGGGTTCAGCCACGGGGCCTGGCAGAGCTTGGTGCCCACTAACCCTGTGCCCTTCCCCTGAGCACAGACGAAGAGATCGGGGGCAGCAAGGGCATGGAGCTGTTTGTGAAGCGGCCCGAGTTCCAGGCTCTCAACGTCGGCTTCGTTCTGGATGAAGGTGTGGCTCTCGAGGCATGATGGGGGAGGAGCCAGTGGGAGTGCACTGTGCGAGGGGAGAATGGACAGGGAGGGACTAAGCTGTGTCCTGGCTGCCGGTCCCTCTGCGGAGATGAGCTTGGCCCCCCGGCCATTAGGTGGGAGATGGGCTGAGATGCATGAAGGGTCGATGGTGGGGATAAAAGAGGGACCTGCAAAGGCACGTTCCCTCAGCCCAGGGTCCAGCCTCACACCCTGTCTTGGCAGGTACCTTGTCTCATGGGTGAGGGACATTGTGTGGCTGGGCCCTCTGCACTCAAGGCGCCTGACTGGGGCAGGGCTGGGGATCTGGAGATTTTCCTCCAGGCCCTAAACAGCAGCCAGCAGCTCCCCTGTTGCATCGCCATGGCGGCAGCTGGCAGTGGCTGCTTGGCTCCCACTCCACCACAGTGACCTGTCTTCTCCTTCCCTCCCCCAGGCCTGGCCAACCCGACAGACGCCTTCACTGTATTCTACGGGGAGAAGTGCGCCTGGTGTGAGTAGGGTCCAGGACATGTCCCCTCGCTTTGTGTCTGTCTTTCTGTGCGTTCCTAACCTACCCATCATTGTGGTGTCTGGGCATCAGGCTCGCCCACTCTCTCTCTCCCTCCCCCCTCTCTCTTAACATGTCTCCCCCTCTCGTCGGCACTTGCAGGGATTAAAGTCAAGTGCGAGGGGAACCCAGGCCATGGATCCCGGTTCATTGAGAACACGGCTGCTGAGAAGTTGGTAAGAGAGGGCACCCTCTTCTGGGGGGTGAGGGACTTGCATTGCCACCCACCCTGGCTTCATCACCTGCCCTCTCAGCAGGAAGGGCAAGTGAGTGTGACAGAGAGTGAATTGCAGTCCTCTTGCACCAAGGGAGAGACCATCAGCTTCTCTCCAACAAGGAATGGTGCAGAGTTCCTGGGTGCAGGGGAGATCCCTGGCATTCCAACCCCAGTCTCTCCCAGCAGGGGGCACTATGGGGAGTGGGGCAGGAGCACTGGCTGTTGGGGGAGCTCCCGGCTACGTCAGGCCCAGCCTCTCTCAGTCAGCGCCCCTTTGTGGCTCCTGTGTGGGAGCTAGTTGGTTTGTTTCTGGGCAGCCCTGGGTGTAGGGCAGAGCTGCTTGCCCTGAGGGTGCAGGTGTCTCGGGGAGCTGGGATGTAGCTATAATACGCTGGTCAGGACACTGACACCCCCTGTTCCCACCACAGAACAGAGTGATCACCTCCCTCCTGCAGTTCAGAGAGAGCGAGAAGCAGAGGTAAGAGGCAGCGCCTCGTGAAACCTGTGGCTCGTTTGCTCCCCAGGGAGAAGGTGGATGTCCTAGCTCCAGAGGATGGGTTAAGGACGCACACACAGGCCTGGGACTCAGGACCCCTGGGTTCTGTCCTCAGCTCTGCCATGGGCTCCCTCTGTGTCCTGGGGCGAATCATATCACTGCTCTGTGCCTCAGTTTTCCCATATGGGAAATGGCCGTGATGACCCCGACTTGCCTCCTGGAGTGGGAGGGGCATGAGGGTTAATTCACTGATGTCAGTAAGGCACTTTGAAATCCAGGCAGAGGACACAGGGAGTGTCGTTGTGAGGGCAGGATCCAGGGCCTGGCTCCACGTGGCAGAGAGTGTGGCCGTCCCAGTGACCCACGCGTGTCCTGGCACCATGTGTCAGTGCACGTGGGTGTCACATTGATGGCCCCAGCCCAGGCGAGGCATATCTCTGGACCTAGCTCTGCCCTCCCCTCGGCCTAGGGGCGGAGGCTTTTCCCGGGGGAGTAGTTGGGGGGTGAAAGGCTCCAACAGACACAGATCACAGACACTGGGTGTGACCTCCCCACTGCAGACTGAAGTGTGATGAGCACCTCACCCTGGGCGACGTCACCTGCCTCAACCTGACCATGCTGAGTGGGGGCGTCTCCTTCAATGTCTTGCCCTCAGAGCTGTCCGCCACCTTCGACATCCGCATCCCGCCCACTGTCAACTTGCAGGTACGGTACCTGCTCCGGCAGGAGTCCCATTCCCTCCGGGCTGGGGTCGGGGTGCACGTTCCCCCAGTTTGGGGGGGACCTCGATCTGCCAGCCATCGCCCCAGCGGTGCCTGCCAGAAGTCTAGAGCTGGTGCTGACTCGCTGCTAACATCCCATGATGCACTGCGTCGATTTCTGCAGTGCCTTTGGAGCCGAGCAGTGGCACAAAAGGATTCTGGGAGGCATCAGAGAGGCAGAACAAGGGCTGACAGCATGGACCTGAGAGAGAACCCCCCCCTTGCTCATGCCCCCTGTTGGTTTGCCCCCTCCCCTGCAGGCATTTGAGGAGCAGCTCACAGCCTGGTGCCGGGCAGCTGGAGAGGGTGTCACCTACAAGTTCTACCAGGTAACAGCAGGGAACTGAGGAGCCGCCCCTTGAAATCTGCTTGGGTGTGTGTAACTTGGCTGGGCACCTCCTTGTCCTCGCTCTCCCTGTGCAGCCCATCCCAGCTGGACCCTCACCCCCCTGCCCCACGCTGCCCCTGAGCCTCTCACCCTCCTTGCTCTGCCACCACCCCAGCCTCCTCCCTCCACCCGCCGAGGAAGATTTAACCCTCTCCTTTCTTTCCTTTGGTGTAGAAATACATGGATCAGACAGTGACCTGCACCGAGGAGTCCGACCCATGGTGGAAGGCATTCAGTGGGGCCTGCAGAGACATGTGAGTAGGACTTGTGGCTGTCCCCCCAGCCATGCTGCTGGCACAGTGCTTGCAGGCTGGGCTCACCTGCGCCCCCCACCCTAGGGTCTCGGAAGCTCCGCAAAAGTGGATGCCTCTCAGGCAGGCCTGGGGTGCAGGGGCAAGCTAAACATGGTCCTCCACAGTTCTGCCGCATGGGGGTGCCCTCTGTCCCTGCCTCCTCACCCATGGGCTCCAGGCTCCCCGTGGCAGGGGGAGGGAATAGCCGCACTGGGGGGTGGCTCACCCAGGCTCTGTCTCTGTTGGCAGGCACATGACGCTGAAGCATGAGATCTTCCCGGCCGCCACGGACAGCCGCTTTATCCGAGCAGTGAGTGCTGGCACCTCCTCCCGGTCTGCCTCCTCCCCTGCTTCTTTCTGCGAGTCCTGTCCCCTCCCCCAAGACACTAAAGAAGGGGGAAAAGCCATGTGTTCCTGCAATCCCCAGTGCAGGATGTCCCTCTGTCTGTCCTGCCCCATGGTATCTGTCCCTCTTGTGACAGCCATCGCCGCCCTAGGGTGTCTATGCTGGGAAGGTCCATCGCACAGCAAAGCTCTCTCGGAGAGGCGGGCACGTGGGCCGGATGCCGCATGGGACCCCCCTGCTGGAATGAGCCAGACCTCCCACTGCAGACTGGCATGGCCTCCCACAGTTCAGGCCAGCATGGGACAAGGGTCAGGGCCAGTGAAGGGTGGGAATGCAGTAATGCCGGGGCTGGCCAGGAGGGGGCTCCGCACGGGGTTGAATGTCAGTGGGGGGTGGGGAATACACAGCACGATCGCCTCTTTGCAGGTGGCTCAGTCCAGCCCCACCCCCCTATTGGTTCCCCCCCCCCTTGGATCCCATATAGTTTGATATGGCCGCTAGGCTCTGTGCGGTGGCAGTGACTTCTCCTTTTGCTGCTTTGCAGGCCGGTCACCCGGCCCTTGGCTTCTCCCCCATGAACCGGACCCCGGTGCTGCTGCACGACCACAACGAGTACCTCAACGAGCAGGTCTTCCTGCGGGGCATCGAGATCTACGCCTGCCTCCTCCCCTCCTTGGCCAGCGTCCCCCCTCTGCCGGCGGAGGGCTGAGGGGCACAGCAGGGGGTGGGGGATACCAATGCGAGAGACGGGGAGTGAAAATTCATGGGGGCAATGGACATACAGGGGCTGGGGTAAGAAGCAGCTGCCTGGGGTGGGCAGGACTCCAGGGTTCCTTGGTGGCAGCACCATTTGCAGAACCACCCAGCTGTGCCAGCCCAGAGGGGCAGCTGCCTGTTGTGTCCAGGGGGAGGGGCAGCTTGTGTCCCTGCCTGTGCTCCAGGTGCTCTGGGCCTGTCCATGGAGCCCTATGAAATTACACCCAGTGCCCAGCTTTCCAGCCCATGGCTCTTCAAGCTTGGGGGTGGGGGAAAGGCTGCACCCCGGGGGCATGACATGCCAGGCTTTCTCCCATTGCTTGCACTCGAGGTGGGGAATACGTCTTGAGTGTCCATGCCCCCAACCCGGCATTTACCTCCTCTGGCTCCTGGAAGGGCCCCTCACCACATTGCAGCAGTAACGCAAGCCTTCCCCTCCCAAGCAGGGAAGGCCTGGGTCCTACCCACCGGGGTCTATGCGGGGTGGGGGCAGGGTTCCATTCCCCATGCTGCATCTCTCCATCCCAACCCCTCCCCGGCCCCAGAGCCCCTCTCCCTGCTGCTTCCAGCCCCAGAGCTCTGCAGAGCCACCCCCAGCTTCCAGGGATTGACTGGGGGTATGGGGCACCCCTTGGGGAGCCTGCCCCTCCCTTGGGCCCCCCTTGGCTCTCCCTGGCTGCCGAGTGGCTCTCCCTGCTCCCGGGGCTAAGCAGCACCACTTGCCCCAGGCAGGGCGGGGAGCTGGAAGTGGGTGTAGCTGCGAGTGTAGCTGTGGGTGGACGCAGGCATTGAGAGCAGGGTAGCTTAGTGGATAAGGGACTGGACTGGAGCTCAGGAGACCTGGGTTCCACTTCTGGCTCTAGTCCAGACTCCCTGTGTGATCTTGGGTGAGTCACCTGAGCTCTATGTGCCTCCGTTCCCCGGATCATCGTACCCCCCAAACCCCTGGCGCGCTGCTCTCAGACCCTTGACTGGGTGATGCTATGTACCTGCTGCCTACTGTCATTAAACCACCAGCTGGAGGGAGGTGGCAGGAAAGCTGCTGGTCTGGCACCTCCTCCCAAGTGCCCCAGACTGTCACTGCCTAGCAAAGAGGGTTTGTGCCAATTTCTGGCAAAGACAGGAAACAGCTCTGAGCTGGCAGTAGTGGGTCTGGCTCAGCAGGGGGCGGTGTTTCCCAGCCATACTGGGACTAGCAGCAGGGCCGTGGGGGGAGGGGGTGCCCAAGTCCCCTGGCCGTGTGACCATGCTATGAATTTTCATTCCTTGGGGCAGGGCCGCTGGGCGCAGCGCTCTGCCCATGTGGGGGTGGTGGTGGAGTTAATTGCTGTCTTAATGAATCACTGCTTTGGTGAATGCAAATCAGAGTGCAATGCGTGGATGGGCTGCTGCGCGTGGTAGCCTGGAGTCCCAGGCCGGAGGACTGGCCCTGTCTCAGGGGGTGGAGACGTGTCTTCTAGCACATCAGAAAGCCTCAATGGGGACTCACGTTCCAGATCCCCAATCCCCAGCTCCAGCTCTCTGGCTGCGGCCCCATCACCCAGGTGGGAGCTTGCTGCAGTCAGGGGCCGGTGGCTACGAGCAGGGGCTTGATGCTCAGGGACAATGTGCCACCCTTGCCTTCGCCCGCCTACCTGCAGCACCCCATTGCCCCTCTGTAAGCCAGTCATGGAGCGAGAGAAACCTTGATGCTCCTGGCCAGGCCTCTGCCTGGCGGATGGGCATAGGGAGTTTGGCATCCTGCTGCAGGATGGGACAAATTCCAAGGGGCAGACTGCCAGCCTACGTGGTTAGGATGGGCTGATGCTGAGCAGCTCCCTTGCGGGGTCTGGGGAAAGTAGGGGACCCACAGAGGTCTCTCCTCAGGTGTGTTTGTGAGGGGGGGGGTCATCCCACCCACGCTCCCTCACCTCAATGTTAACACCAGTTGCTTGGGCTGGGAGATCAGGTCCAGTTCTTTGCTGAACTTGTGCCAAAGCTGCCAGCTGTCGGTGTGTGTCTCCACGGTGCTTGTGATTTTACTAAATAAAGCTGTTTGATTGGAAAGAACAGCCAAGGGTGTGGTAACTCCTGGGCTGGCCTCTCCCTGTCTGTCTGATCTTGAAATCCACCCTCCAATGCGCTCTCTCCCCATTACATCAGCCGTCCAGCTGGTTGCTCTGGGGTCAACTTCATGCCTTGTTGCACCATAAGAATTGCTACAACCAGGGACGTCATTGGGTCAGTGTCTTCCCCCACTGCACTGTCCCATTCTGAGATCATGTCTCTCTCACTGCTCAATGCTGGGCACTTTGGAGTCTCCAGGTCTGCAGTGCTCTATCCAAGGCTAAGGATTTCTTCCTGATCCCTTTGTGTCCTGGAGCTTCAGCATGAAATGCTCCCAGTGTAACTGGATTTGCTGTTCTGACAAGTACCAGACCCTTCGCTGACACTTCCTGAGATGCATGAGCCTCAAGTTAAGCACCTAAATCCCTGGGGCAGTGCAGCAAGCAGGTTATTTAGGTGCCTAAATACCGCTGGAGGGAGAGAACGCAAGACACCCAAATTTGTGGATTTGGCTGTGTAGAAATGGGGGCCTGTGCACACCAAGTCATCAGCTGAGCAGCCCATGGGCAGCAAGACTAGACCTCTCAGCTTTGGACCCCCAAGCCCAGCCTGCTGCTCCCTGAGCTAGAGGAGAAATGATGTGGCATTACCAGCTCCAGAGCTTTTACAATTGTCATGCAAAGCGTCTAAACCTTGCCTGAGTGTCTGTGTCCAGTAGAGGGCAGCAGTGCAGCCCAGGGCATTAACATAGCACTAGCCCCAAGCTGCTGGATCAGTCTGTATTCCAGGCTTAACCCCCCCCACCCCCCCCGGCCCTCAAACTTGGCAGGCTCCCCATGGATTAAAGCTCCGGAATGGGTCCTGCAAGAGCATCCATTCGCAGAATGATACTTCTCCTATGTCTTCGTATGTAGGGGCTTTATTATTGTTCCTGGAACTCCAGCCTACACGGCCCCATTAGCCAGCTCAGCCCATGGGCTGACTGTGCTGGTGGGATTGTGCCACCAGTTGGTACTGAGCCACCGGCCCTTCGACCTGGGGTGTGAAGTCCCCGACATAGGGACAGCATAGGGGACTGAGATTGGAAATGGAGCACCAGACCCTTCCTGCAGGAGAGTCTCTGAGCAGGTGAAGTGCCCCGTTGTGTCTAACCGCTCTGCACCCTGTGCCTTCTGGGAGCAGCAGAGCTGGGGCCCGTGGCCTGAAGCGCTAGGGCTGCGGAGCCAGAGCAGGGTTGTGGGGAGAGCTGGATTCATTCCTGCAGTGCCAGCCACCACTAAATCATGGCTGCAGACTCTGGGCAACTGGCAATGCTGGGTAAGAGGCACAGAGAACAGGACATTTTCTGCCCACCGGGTCTGAACTCCCCTTGGGAGTTGAGTACCTTGGGCATCTAGGGAGCCTCATGCTGTCAGCAGTCTCTTGCGGGGTCTGCCTGCCTTTTGGAAAATGCCACACTCAGCGTGCCAAACGAGGGCATCTCCATCTGGCCAGCAGAAGAAACATGATGCTCGATCTGCCTGTACTCAAGGCTCCTTTTCCATTGCTCCCTACAGCTTTGGAGGTGGGTTGATGCAGAGAGTAGGCGCCTGGTGGGCTGGGGTGCCATGTCAGGCATGGGACAGCAAAGAAGAGGCACAAAGCCAGGAATAGGGGCAGGAAAAGACAGGGGCGGCGATGCTGGCATAGTTAGTGCAGGGAAGCAAGCACGGTCAGAGGATCCGAGCTGTAGCCCTGCCCCAACATCACAGGGTGGAAGTGTTGCCAGGCCGTGCCCCTGCCAGACCCCTTTCTGTAGCCTGCATCAGTGGGGCAGAGGGATGGAGGATAGGGGTCAAATGCTCAGGGCAAGCAAATAATGACGTTTGCCTGGCTCTAGCCAACTGGGACCCAGCCTCAGCTCGCCATGGGCCGGAGCACCCAGCACTCATTTCATGGAGACCTTGCCCTAAATAGTGCCAGGCCATGGAGAGCAGGTCAGCACCTGGAAATGAGATGAAGGGACAGGGGGTGGTAGGTGAATGATTAGCCTGGTAGGCAACAACCAATCCCACGGCAGCTGGTGAGCAGTTAGTGAAAGGCCTCACTGGCTCCAGGGGAAGCCTGCGAGCCAGGGGAGTGGCCCAGCCACAGACCAGCTGGGGAAGTTTGTCAGCGGATTCCAGCCCCTGCGGCCAGGCTGGCGAGGCTGTGAACTGCAGCTGGCCAGTGAGACATGGGCGAGTCATCCTGGCACGCTGGGCTGGAAAGTCAGAGCAGCACTTGGCCTTCAGGGGCATGGGTAGGAGAAAGCCAGCAGGCTAGATGAGAGGGGAGCAGAACACCACAGCAGCTGTGCTTAGAGGTTCCAGCCAAGCTCAGGCTCCATTGTGCTAGGTGCTGTACATACTCATGATGAGATACAGGCACTCCCCTAAAGTGCCTGCTCTCTAAAGAGACGAGGGTGGCAGAGAGGGGGAGGTAAATTCACATGGCAAGTCAGTGTCAGAGCCCAGGTCACCTGAGTCCCAATCTACTGTCCTATCGACGAGGGCACGCTGCCTCTCATGGAGCCCCCACAGTGTGGGTGTGAGCCAGCACCTTGCCTGTGATACGAATCCCCATGGGGCTCAGCTAGCTCACCTCAGCCAGGTGTGGTGTGGGAAGTGGGAGCAAGCATGCTGCAAGACTTGCTTCTGCTCCTGCTCCCAGCTCAGCCTCTGAGCACATGGTCACCACTAATATATAGTTAGTCAGTCAGAGGGGCCTTAGTTTTCCACAAGGGAAAGAGAAGCTTCGTCCGAGGAGTCTCCGGCCTGGCCAATCTCTTCCAGAGGACAGGCAATTGTGTCAGCACTGTGCTCATCTGCCAGTGGCCACTGCTCTCCAAATCGAAAGCTGCCCCACGCCGCCTGAATGACAGTGCTCCAGCTGCTGTCTGCCCAATTCCCTTCGCAATTGGTCACTCCAGTATTTGTCTAGCAGCATCCTGCTATTCTATGCAACCATAGAGCATCCCTGGGCTCTAGCATGGCACACACAACTCCTCCAAACGCACTGGGTTGGAATCAAATGCCTCATGGCTCCATTTGACAGCCCAGAAGCACCACGAGGTAGCACTCAGTCCTTATCCTCCTGGTAACCTTTGCTTTTGTGGTGATAGCCTAATGATTATATTTAGGCGGGCCACACTTTGGCCTGGTCTACACCTAAAAATTAGCTCGACCTGGCTATGTGGTTCAGGGCAGTGAAAAATTTCCTGTCCTGTGCATCACAGCCCAACCCAACACCCAGCGTAGCTGTTGCTAGTCTGGACGAATTCTTCCATTGCTCGAGCTATTACTGCTATTAATTGTGTGGATGGCAGAACCCCCTTCTGTGGGCATAGGCAGCAGCTATGTTATAGGGCTACAGCAGTGCGGCTGTAACATAACCATGGCCTTTGGCAGGCATTTCCTTGGGTGGTGCCCTCCTGCCACCTCATACGCTTGCACACCAAGCTAAGTTCATATGAGGGGCAAGGCTGCTGTCTCGCCAGGTGCCCATCCCAACAAGCCATAGCTGATCATGCCAGGATATGAAACTAAGGGGCTTGTGTAAGATACTTTCCCCAACCCACCCGCCTTCATCCAAGCGCTCCCTGGCCCTCATCCAAAGCCCAGGATCATGGCTAAGCTGGAGCATGTCCTAAAGATCAGCAAAATCTCCCTCTGCTAGACCAAGGGGCAGGCGGTTCAGGGTCAAGGCCCTTCCTGGGAATAGTCCCTACCCGGGGTCAAACCAGTCAGGGATTTATGGGTCAAACCCCACACTAAATTCCAGCAACAGCTGGACTGGCTTCTGGGGTGCTTGTGGTGTGAGGCATGACCGTACACTAGGTGGCGCTGTGTATCTAGAAATTCAGTCCGTCGTCGTCGTCCCCCCACCCCCGAGCTGGCAGCTCTAGGGGCCTGGGTGACAGAGGGAGATTTGCGGCAGCTGTGCTGACATGCAAGGAGCCTCACTGGCTCATTCCAAGGCCTCGGGTCCTGGTGTTTCTTGTTGCACAGTTACTCTTTAGCAAGTGCCACTGCTCCCGATGTGAGAGGCGCACACAGCTCTGGCCCCACTCCTGTCTGCAGGCTTTGCTTCTTGTATGCTAGCAATCCCCCAGACTCAGCTGTGTGTGCCCCTTTGGCTCCTGGGGGACAAGGTTCCTATGGTCCAAGGGAAGTGTCTTACGATAAGCCAGGGGATTTTTGCACTTTACAGGACGATTGGTTCTAAAGCTCAGCTAGATCCAATGGCACCTGCTGAGTGAATGACCCGGACATGCACAACGGCAGGGCCATCCAGGGAAGGGCTGGAGTGGGGGCGGAAATTGCTCAACTATTGCATGGACAGTGCTAGCTATGCCCCTGCTTGTGAGGCATTGGGTGCATCCAGCACTGGGACTGTCTCTGTGCCCTGCCGAATGAGAAGACTCTTCGTAGCTGGCTTTCGCTGCTCCAGATATTGGCTGCAAATAAACTTGCCCGTTGTTCTCCCTGAAGCACCTCACAGGAGGAAGGCTGGCCCCAGGGAAGTTAATGTGAGTTTTGCCGTTGCCATTCATGGAGCCAGGATTTGCCCTCCCCACCCCAAAGCAGACAGGTTATTTAAAAGGGTTTGGGGAACAATGATCCAACTCTGGGTTGTTTGCAAACTCCTTGCTCTGTGATTGGTCAGCCAAGTGCCGGAGCATTGTTTCTGCTGCCTGATTGGCTGGATGAGACTTTTTTTAAAGAGGCAGCGAATTAGCAGGGAAAGACGGTCCAAGCAGTATGGTGGAGGAGTTGCCTGGCTGGGACAGGCCAGGGGACCAACCCCATCCATTTCAGAAGAAGAAGGAAGATACCCTGAAGTGGGCAGTTATGGACTAGCTGGTGGAGATGGGAGAGCTTCTTCCTGACCCTCTCCAAGATGGTGGTGGTCTCTGAAGCAAGAGAGTTTCTAACCCTTCCAGATTTCTGGGCAGTCTGTTTCTTAGCAGTCTGTTTGTTTGT